CGTGAGGCCAGCTGGCCGAGTGGGAGGTGGGTTGGGAGCTCCCTGCTGGGCCTGCTGAGCAGGAAGCCCCCCTGCTACCAGGTCTAACTTTTCTTTAGGGGGAGATGTCCCCACAGAATCTAAGTCACGTGATGAGAATGTCTGACATTAACGCAGTGCCCTGACACACCTGGTCACCTGTTAGCTTGCTCAAGGTCAAGGTCAGGCCCCTCGTGCAAACTTCAGGAGGGTCTCAGCGGGGGTGCGGTCCTCACACAGACACGTCCCGTCTTCTATGAGCCAGGTCCTGGCTTTCAACTCTGTAAAAACTCGCTCTCCTGTTGACTTTCACACCTTAAAGGGCCAGGCAAGCCTTTGATGGGCAGTCGGTTAAACCTGCCGCACCTGGGACTTGTGATCTGGTCTTTCCCAGAGAGGAGCGGGGGAGGTGCTGCCGGCCTGTCTGCCCCGAGGGCCTTGAGCCCTGGGCAGCCCTGGCCATGGCCCGTACCCCCTCTAAGCTGCCGCTGCCCGTCTGTGAGGTGGGACAACGATGCCCCTTCAGGGTTTTTGAGGGAACTAGCAAGTCCCGGGAGCACAGGACAGGCTGAGGGCCTGGCACAGTCATAGTGGCTGTTTTTCTAGAAGCCCCTCTGCAGAGTGGAGCTGGGTGTGCACAGTCCCGACCCTCTGCTGTTTGATCGCGTTTCCCCCGACTCAGTTTCCCTCTGCAAACCCAGGGATCGCACAGTCCTCCTGCCCTTGGGCGCTTCAAGCTTAGCCCCAGCTGTTTAAAGGTTTTTGAGCACAGAGTACTCTGACGATGAAAAGTGTGGCGTGATTTACTATTTAAATAAAATGCAACAACTTCCCTTTGTGCCAGTGGGGGGCTGCAGATTCCAAAATGTGGGTGCCCTCGGCACCTCTGGAATGTCAGCGGGATGTTCGTCACCGCCTCCTGTCGGCTGTGACGTATGGCACCTAAGTAAGTAGGGTTGCCACCTTGGTAATGAATGACTTTCTAGCACAAATATGTCCCAAATATTGCAGGGGACGTAATTACACGAATCAATTGTTTACACTTAACTGGGTGCCCGGTATTTTTATTTGCTAAATCTGGCCACCCTACAGAAAAGTCATCTCTAGGGTCTCGGTAGTGGCTAGTGTAGGTCAAGTTTTATAAAATGTCTATCAGGGATGAATGGAATGAGGTGCAGTGGTAGAATATTGGACAAAAATTACTGCAAATGTTCTTTTTTAAAACGGAGCCAGCTTTCATCCACCTGGATTCAGGCTGCCTTTCTGGTGTTGCCCAGGTTGCTAGTAGCTGGTCTACTGACGTTTAGCACAGAACATTGTCTGTTTCAGTCCCTTCATTTAAATAGTGTTCTTAATTATACTCACAGCAACCTGTTGGGTCCCTACAATGAGCCACAAAGCATTGAGTAGGAAGAGGGGGCAAAGAATGTTAAGACCATTTTGCAGATAAGCAAACCAAGGTGGAGAGACAGGACTGAACTTGCCTGTGGTCACAGCAGAGGTCCTGGTGGTACTCAGGGCCTGGCCACACCCCTCCTGCTTGTTCAGCTTCCCTAGCTGAGCTGTCTATTCCTCCTGTCGGCCAGCTCTGCTGCCCGCTGCTGTCACCCCATTTTCACGCAGGGGCTGGTGAAGAGGGGAAAGAGTTTCACGTGACATGGGTTTGCAGGACGTGCCTGCTTTATAATGTTGGCCCCTTGTGAGAGCTGAACTCGGGCCATCACGTGGGCAACGTTTACAGGGTCGGGAATGAAGCCGGAAGCTAAAATCCCCTGGGAATTCCCAACCCGGCAGCAGGCCGAGCGTGCGGGGCTCTGTGCCAGCTCCCATAAGCTGCTGCTGTGCTTTGGCGGCCTGGCTTTGCGGGCACTGGGAGCCGGCCTTGTCTTTTCTAAGTCTGCCAAGTTCTCACCGGGGTCTGGGGTAGTTTCCACGGCACTGGCAAGGCTGCCGGAGCCGCCAGGGAAGCCACTTCCTTAACATTCGGTCAGATTTGTGACGTCCTGGTTCCTCCTCACCCTGCAGAAGTGGATCATAGACCTGGCCATGGTGAGTGCCGCCCGAGACAGCAGCCTGCCACTCTCCTCTCCCTGTCACCGGCCCCGCCGAGCACCTGATAGATCGAATGTTCAACCTGCTCATTTCCACCTGCACTGAAGGGTGGTGGGGAGAAGGGGCAGGGCTCTCCAGACAGGGAGCCAGCATTCCCACGTCCATGCTGGGAAGTGTTTTACTTCCCTTTTGCGCCCTGGAGAACCAGATTGGGACCTGAGCAGAAGTTAAAGAGCTTCCGGTCGGGTTAGTCATTACATATTGGCCACTTACGCATTCTTTTTGTCCTCCTTGGAAGAGGGTACTAGTACTTTTTTCCTTCCTAGTTAAGGGCCCAAATGCGCATGCTGTGGGAATAGGATGCTGATGGGGGTCAGGTGACCACAGATCTCTCCAGGTGACAGAGTGGAGGTTTCCACCCAGGGGAAGAGAAGGCACATGTCACTGCCTGCCACACCCAACCCATGCATTTCCCCCTCTTCCCCCCAACATCTAAGCACCCTTCTTCCTTCCAGTCCCGTTCTGGGTTGGACTCTGTGACAGAGAAACCGGACCACCGGCAGTTGAATCTGTATCATGAGATTGTCCAGGCCTTGGTTATGTCCCTGAAGGAAACGCTCTACTCCACCCACAGCTGAAGTGGGTTTGTAGAGGTGCTGGGTGGGCGCAGCCAGGCAGCAGGCCAGCGGGTCAGCCTCCTGGCAGGGGTGCAGGGCCTGGTGTGTCACCACGTGGGCTCATTACAGGAGCAGAGGTCCAGAGGTGACGCCCCAGCCGATGCTGTGACTGTGAGCCTGTAGCTCAAAGCGGCCTGGCCCTCCCTGGGCTCTGAAATACAGTAAAGTCTCTTTCTCTCTTTTCTTCAATATCTTTTTTAAAATTGATTTCAGAGAGGAAGGGAGAGGGAGATAGAAACATCAATGATGAGAGAATCATGGATCGGCTGCCTCCTGCACGCCCCACACTGGGGATCGAGCCCACAACCCAGGCCTGTGACTGGGAATTGAACCGGTGACCTCTTGGTTCATAGGTTTGATACTCAACCACTGAGCCAAGCCAGCCGGGCTGGGCCTCTCTTTTTTATTGCGGGTGGGGCTGATGAGCCTCGTGGCCAAGCTGTGACTTTTCTTACTCTCATCTTCTCACCAGCTTCAGGCGGCAGGTGCTCACCCAGCAGAGGAGATGGCGGGTTATCACTAACCTGGGTCTTGCCCTGGCACAGATGGGCTATTCGCTCACCTGAAATGGTGGCTTCAAATGGTGGCCTTCCGTCTCTGGTGCTCTTTTCTCGCGAGGGGACTCCTAACTTTCTCCCGTTTTACCTGCCACAGAATTTATGTACTTTCATCAGCGCAGCCAGTAAGTTTGCGCAGCTGCAGTGCCTGTGGAAGACACGAGACTCGGGGGCGGTGAGCGCGCTGACCTGGGGCCTGGCTTCCTCCACCAGCGCCAGTAAGAACAGACTCCACGGAGTCCTTCCCCGAATCCCGAATCCGCCTGGGGGAAGGGGGTGGTGGTTCCGTTTCCTTTATTTATAAAATAAGGGGGTAGACTTCAGTGATTTAACATGGATTTTAGTTAGTGGGAGCCTTTCAATGAACCTTTTCAGGGGCTTATTATGTAAATGAGATTTTCAAAAAGTTGGGTTTGGGGTCGGGGAGTGTGTTACCACAGAGCGGAAGGGGAGCTCGGCCGGCCGGGGCCTGGCTGGCTTTGCTGCTTTATGAAATACAGCGCAGTGAGTGTTCTGTGCTAGCCAAGTCTTTCAGGAACAGTGAGCATCAAGTCCTGTCTTTAAAGTGGGAAGACATTCGCTAAATACCAAACTGTCTGAGAAGCGAGTTGGTATTTATTGCCGAAAATCTTCTGTTGCAGCAAGAATAATAACCACCTTAATGACCACCAATGACCTCACAAGTAAGCAAAATATTTTTCTGCCGCTTCCTTTTTCAATGTGCCTTTTGCCGCCTTCGTTTGTCCATGTCCTTAGCGGGTCCCCGGCTCCCTGTGAGATGCATGTAGAGGCCAGGCATACACTCCCGGTCTGCCCATGTCCTTAGCAGGTCCCCGGCTCCCTGTGTGATGCACGTAGAGGCCAGGCACACACTCCTGGTCTCCGCCAGTCACCGTGTTTGTACTGAGCATCTCCTTTGTGGTGGCCGGTAGTCAGTTCCTATCTTTGTGAGCGTCCGCACGGCCAGTGAAGTGGACAGGAAAGCAACCACACACTTAGCTACTGAAAAATACTGTGAACTGTGTTTGAAAGAGTAGGACGGGATGGGCACCCGCAGGGAGGAAGCTGGGAAGGTCCGCTTGAAGATGGGCGACCTGGAGGAGGTGGGAAGAGGCTGCTACAAGCAGCAGCGTGAGCTCCGGAGCAGAGAGGACGCAAGGCCGGGCCTGGGAGTGTCAGAAGGGCGGGACTGCGCACGAGGCGCCTGAGGAGGGCAGGGAAGGTGGTGTCATGATGGTCCAGCCCCTCAAACAGCCCACAGCAGCGGAGGCCCTTGAAAGCAGGGGAGGGACAGAATCTTTTGACTCCATGTCCTTGCTTTTCTTAAAAGGGTTCCTGTGATGGAGAAAATGCGTGGGTTACCCTCAGAGTTTTTAACTCCCAAACTGTGCCTGTACAAACATTTTGGGAAATGTTTACAACAGATGGGGTTTGTCGCGGACACTTTGTCGCTCTGAGAGGGAGTGAGGGAGTGAGAGCGCTGTGGTCGAAGCACCAACTTGGGCCAAGAGAGGAAAGGGAAGGAGGCAGGCCTTCCTCACAGGACCGAAGTCCCTGCGCGGAAAGAAGGGCCAAACCATAACCCAACAGAACCACCTGCCATTGAGAATTAAGTTTAAAGATTGAGAACGTTCTCACTTGTTTTGTGACACCCGAGGCCGCCTAAGGTGACACCTGTCCCAGAAAGTGATCCCTGTATCTGGAGAGGACCTTTGAAAACCCGTTCAGCTCATTAATACCGCATACTAGTAAGCGGCTTACACCCAGGCAGACTTCATCAGTCTTCTTTCCCAGGAGTGCTCCGCCACCAGCACTTTTTTTGAGAGCCATGTTTCCATGGTTACCTCAATATAGAGTCGTGCATTTTTTCAGGTTGACCTTAAGGGAGTGCTCCACACCTTTCCTTCCCATGCGGTGTTCTGAGACGCCCCTCACTGCCCTCAAGACTTAAAAATATGACTAAAGGGGAGTGAACAGTTGTAATACTTCTTATCAGCCAGAGCCAGATTCCTCCAAGTTAAACACTGAAGATGAGAAATTATTATTCATGAAGTCAGGCCAAGTGGCCAATGGTAGTCATGATGGGAAAATCATTTTCCCAGAAATATTTGGAACCACATTTGGGACCAAAGTTGTTCAAAAGTTCTCATGACCTGTAGTTCTAAGTCTCATTTCTTTGAGGGGGAGGGGTGTGTGGGGCTTTATTTAGGCTTTTAGAGCAGAATGATTTTGTTCTCTGATGTGGAAACAGTATTTAACGTATACTTTTTCTCTTCTTGGCTGCCTTCAGTCCTTATACGTTTTGTGGTCACGCTGGCTTTAAACCTGTGGGTGACAGCGACAGTCCTCCGCTACCGGAAGACGGGTGTAAAGGCTGAATGATGGATGGGTAATTCTGACACACAAAGTGGATTTGGAGTAACTGAACCAAAGGAAAGAAGAGCTCATTGCTAAATCGAGGTCTTTTATAAATTAGTCAATCATTTCTGAAACTCTGGAGCCAAAGGTATTTTAGACTTGAAAGAGCCATTCAAACACGTGTTTAAAAATGACCCCCCCGACCCCCCACTTTACTAGGTCAAGTTGGGACACACATCTGCAGTGTTGAGAAGGTTGGTGGTTAATGGAAACCATCCAACAACCATTTTGAGATTGCTTTGCCTCTTAAAAGTCATGATTAAGTTCTCTCCAAAGAGCTGACTACATCTATTTTTCAGCTTTCAGAATATTTTAAGAAATAAGTCCTCTCCACAGAAAAAATGAGCATCAAGTGGGTTTTGCTCGGTCAGAAGAGTTGTAATCAATTACTAGGGGTTCACTTTCTGGGACTAGTGTCTAATTGCAACAGATATGACAGGATGGCTTTATTGTATCATAATACAGTATAATACCTGCTTACGTGTCACAAGTCTATCAGGGCAAGCAAAAATGTAACTGGCTTGAATTCATATGCCAAAGCAGTCCTTTAACTTCATACTGTGCCTTTAAGTAATTCCTAACAAAATGTACTATTGGATGCAATCTCTGTGATGAAGCAATTCACGTTCTGATTTAAGCACAATGCTGCCTTTTTTTAAAACTGCTTTTAATATATATATATATGTATGTGTGTGTGTATATATATATATTAGTACATATATACACACACACATATATATACACATACATATATATATATATATATATATTATTGATTCTGGAGAGGGAGATGTAGAAACATCAATAATGAGAGAGAATCATTTCATTGATTGGCTGCCTCTTGCATGCCTCCCTCTGGGGATCAAGCCTGCAACCCAGGCATGTGCCCTAACCAGAAATCGAACAGTGACCTCCTGGTTCATAGAACAACGCTCAACCACTGAGTCACACTGGCCGGGCAATGCTGTCATTTTTATAGAGGCCACAGCCATGCAATTAACCATTCTTAGAATTTGGTACAAAATACAGCTTATCTCGACCAGGTTTTGTGTATTGAAAATATATGTAGTAAAGGGTATTGCTGAGTTCTGGCAATCCTTATGGATTCTATTCTCATTACAGTATCATTCTAAACATGACAAGATTATTATTATACATGGTATTTTTCTATAAAAGTTTATAAAGCCTAACACTTAAAAAACTCCTTTTCCCCTTATAACTGAATGGCATTATTTTGGTGTGTATATACATATATGCAGTAAGTAAATGATGATTAGATGTTTTGGTTTCCTGTGTAAAATAAACTTTCAAATTTTAAAATCTGCTGAGTCTTAAAACTGTTTCAATGTGATTAGTTTTCAGTTATGTAAAGTGCCATTAAAAAATATAGATTGTGGTTAATCCTTTTAGAACGACTGCTTGGGAACAGCAGGAACAGAAACATGGCATCTAAAAATAACATCATTCATTCTGTAGTTCTTAGATCATAGTTGTCACTTTTTAAAAATCCAAGTAAATCCTTTCTCGTGTGCAGTTACAATCTGTTGGTATACATACAAATTGTGACTTTAGTCCAACAAATATTTACACATACTTTTCTTATTAGTACTTTATCATTGTTTAAGCAGTGGTTCTCAACCTTCTGGCCCTTTAAATACAGTTCCTCATGTTGTGACCCAACCATAAAATTATTTTCGTTGCTACTTCATAACTGTAATGTTGCTACTGTTATGAATCGTAATGTAAATATCTGATATGCAGGATGGTCTTAGGCGACCCCTGTGAAAGGTTCGTTCGACCGCCAAAGGGGTCACGACCCACAGGTTGAGAATCGCTGGTTTAAAGTCACTCCTTTAAGAATATGCCCCCTTGGAGGGCAGTCTCCATCCAAGGGAAGGGAATAAATGTTTGAGCCATTTCAGACCCTCCACAGCAGTTTCCGAGCTAATCCCACAAGGACCCTGGCAGTAAACCATCTCCATTTTGCAGATGAAGGCACTCAGCTCGGGGAGCGACCTGGCCCAGGTTAGAGCCAAGCCATGTCCAGGGAAGAACGCACTGATTACCAGAGAAATGCTTCCTGGAAACCACCTGTCAACACACTAGTCTGACAACACAGGCACCCTGGCTCTCCTCTATCCTCAACACAAGAGTGGGGGTTTGCACGTCCCTTAAAATGCCAACATCAAATTAGAGACAGACTCCTGGGTGAAACTCTACCTTTTGTATTTCTCCGTGCATAAACGACGGGGCCGAAGATTCACAAGTCTAACCAGTTAACTACCATGCGTCCAAAACGGAAACCATCCCCACATGCCACGATATTTTGAATTTAAAAAAACAACAACTAGCCCTAACCGGTTTGGCTCAGTGGATAGAGCGTCGGCCTGCGGACTCAAGGGTCCCAGGTTTGATTCTGGTCAAGGGCATGTACCTTGGTTGCGGGCACATCCCCAGTAGGGGGTGTGCAGGAGGCAGCTGGTCGACATTTCTCTCTCATCAATGTTTCTAACTCTCCCTCTCCCTTCCTCTCTGTAAAAAATTAATAAAATAGATTTTAAAAAAAAATAAATAAAAAGTAACTAAATTTGCAATGAATATTATAAAAATAAATATATTACTCACAATTCGGTTGTTCTTGAATATTTTTAGCTGAAAATTCTCACGAAAAATGATTTTAAAGTTGGTCAGGGCTGCCACTTAGGGAAAATATTTTCTTCCTATAGACGCACGTGGTGTGTGGGGAAGGCTGGCCGCTTGTATGTACAGACGCTTACGGTGTACAATGGTTAAGTTTAGTTATGACTTGTTGGCTATACCCATCTTTTTAGGGAAGGCAAATTTTGGGAGTAAATTTTAGGTTGCAGCATGCCAGGAGTATTTCACAGGAAAAGTATAAAAATGCTTATGTCTTAATTATTTATTTTTTAATATAAAAAGCAGGCATAAAATACAATTACATTACTACAAAGATGCAGCAAATTTAAAAGAAAGAAAATCAGGGGGATATGATTTTTGTTCAAAGGGGACAGCTGATCAAATATTTGATTATCTAAACCATGCAGTTCAACTTAGTACAACTTCAAACAAAACTCATTATGGGGAAGGGAACCAAGGAGCCGACGTGACGTCCCCCCAGCTTAACACCCGGCACTGTCACACAGCGCCACTCCTCAAAGTGCTTCCCGAACGAACAGCCGCGGCATCTCCCCACCTGCGGAAGCTGAAGCCTACCCGGAGGACGGGAGTCAGTAGCAGTGTCAGTGCAGGCGGAGCAGCTCACGTGTGACTTCCTCCCGTCGGAGTATAGAAACAGGCTTCTTGGAGCAGCTCCACAAGGGCACGTGGTGCCGAGGCCTGGTGGCCACCAGGGTCCTAGACCAGATTAGCAGCAGCCGCAGCACTTCTGCAACGGGGTCTGGCCGCCGAGCGCTCCTCCAGGACCCAGGCAGACAGAACGCACCTGCGAGCCAGACTCCTGTACCCAGCGTAGGCCAGCTGTAGACACTCACCTACATTTTGGATTGACTGGGACACTTATCCTTTGGCTACAGCATTTTCAATGTTCAGATTTAAAAAAAAAAATTCTTGCTTCTAGATAACAATTTAAATACTTTTCAAAAATTCACTACACACCAATTTTCAACAGTAATACCAGTTTTACTTCTACTTGTCTCACTTATCCCCACGAAAGTACAAAACTCTAAGAAAATCCCAGTATTCACTACTTCTTAGTTCTCAATAGGAGGTATTTATGGCTCTAGGAGAAATCAGGTGTGAGGAAAGAAGCAACTTTTGGTCTTTTATTTATCTTGGAAGCTTTGGAGCCTCCAGAAAAAGAGAAGCTGGCACAAAATCTGGCTGTTACACCAAGTCAGTATCACATTGAGTGAGTGCTGGGAAGAGAACATTTGGGTAGGTGCATGCATCATTCATGTTTGTACATGAAACCAGCAACAGGGTAAAAAGCAAATTCTTACCCAAGGTCAGAATCTTTTATTAAGCACATTTCTGTTAGCTGGACAGCTTTATAAATTCTTATGTCAAACCACATAATGTGAATAATCTCCATGGGAGAGATTTGGTTCACCCCTTAGATTATCTTCCCCCAACCCCCAACAGTCACATTGATCTTCCTCGTATAGTTGCATCACACCATGATTCTCCATATTCTCTATTATATACAGCATTCAAAATTTAAACTTTTGCCATTTTTACTCAAATATTTCAATTATTCATGTGTAAACTTCAAATTATTTTACCTTAATAAAGTTTATTAAAAATATATATATATACTCTCCAATTCAGAATAATATGATAGAACCTCCCATAGTGTAACAAAATCTTTATATAAAATATTAATTCAGTCTCCTTTTAACAAGTCTAATGAGTGGAAATATTTATTCTATATAAATTTTATATATTTTTCATTTTAAAATCTTACTTTAAAAAAAATCTGTGCCCCCAAACCAGGACCGCAGCACACACCTGTGAGGGGCCGCCTGCCGCCTGCCGCCTGCCGCCTAGTTTCAGCACAGACAGCAGGAGGGAGTGCAGACCGGACACTGGAAGAGGAACGAGATTCCGGTTCAGGACATCGGTAGCCACAGGCCACTCTTCCATTTCCACAACAGTATCTATAACTGGGGACCTAACTTTAAACATCTCCACACTGACCCCCCAGGGAACAATGAAAAATGTCTTAGTTCCTTCATTGAAATATCAGATGCTGTATTTCAGTATCACACCAAACTGTATGTTTATGTATATTGAGACTGATAAAAGACTACACAATTTTTTACCTGATGCTTCTCACTGATGCATACTGTCACAGTAAAAAACATAGACTTCTGTGGGATGAGAAATGCAGCAGGAATGGTCCTGCATGTGCTGCAATTTTAACAGCATTTAAATAAAAAGTTAAGTGCCTTTGAGGCCACTTCTTCCTAGGCACCAGTTTTCACAACCCAATACTGAAATATTGCCATACACAATTGTGTGGATAAGGGATCACATGTCAATACTTAAAATATATCTAGAGTATATTTTAGTTTTCTTTATATTTGAGATAATTTTTGAATGTTGAGTGTGAAATGTAAAAATAGTCACAAATATCCTTACCAGAAATAAAAACATATCTAGGGTAGTCAGCAAATTCCAAGCAAAGAAAACATTTCATAGTCACACACTAATACTGAGGTCTGTAAAAAGGCTTGGATGGATAATAGATATACATACAAGATATATTAGTTCTAATACTACCCATTATTGTTTCTATCACCATACTTTAAAAAATTGTTAGACAATCAAAATAGGCTGACATTGATAACTATTATATGTAAAAATAGTGCACTATCTTCTTCTGCAAAGCAAATTTGCATTCTAAGAGTTGGTAAACACTTGTTTTTAATACAGAAAAGGGCTGAGACTTGGAAAAAATTAAATTAAGGCATTCAAAATGGATAAAGTTGCCTATCATGAAGCATTAGGAAACCGATATAATTAAGTTCAAAGTTTCTGTTACAGCAACATGAACATGCAGCTCCATCAGGTCCACACAAATGAGTGCTATAACCCCAATGTTATGGCTTTATACAAGTGCATAGTTGCAACTGTAGTAAGTAATGATATCTGATTAATGAGTATAAAAAATAAAGTGGGAAGTTAAAAAACCCTCTTGCAGTATTACAGTACTATATATGGGTGTGTACATGTATATGTACACACACACACACACACACACACACACAGTATAATGGTCACTTCTTAAAGATGCAGTCTATATCACTGTAGTGAAATCCGTTCCGATTCTTCCGGCGAACATGCTGGTGAAACCTCTCTGCTGAAGCTGAACAGATGACTCCTTTGACTCTTCTCAACCCTCTGTGCCATGTAGTGTGGGTGTGAGTGACCGCCAAGAGAGCTTTATGGAGCTTTTGGAAGAGTTGCGTATGATGTTTTTACTCTATTAACCAATCTCCGCTGGTTCAACCTGTTGTTCCAAAGGAGCCTAGAAAAATCTCTCCAAGATTTATAATTTATATTGCAGGAATAAAGGGAATATGTATGTGTGTGTATCAGTCTCTCAGGAAAATACAGCTTTTCAATAAATTTTGGGCCATCATATTTCAGTCTTGTTTTAACTGGAAGAATAGGATCACCTTGAATAATGACTGCATTCATAGAAGGCAGTTAGCTGCAAAGAAAGGAAAAATAAAGTTAGCTGAGACAGTGAAATAATAAGAGATTGTTAAGCATTCCATTTACACCATTAAACTAGATAGTCTTCCAACTACAATAGTTTTAACACCTAATTCATGCATAAAACATATTTACCGTGCTACTTTTTTTATTTTTAGGTACATGCAATTATAGTCTTTTTCATATTTTCCCATATTGCCTACAAACATGACACACAGTTTTAATACAGTTAACTGACTGTCAGGTTTAGACAATATGTCACTGAATAACTCATGTGAACATAAATTTGACTTAGAGTTTAACTGCTAGCTGCCTCATGTAGCTGAAAGAACAGTGGACTCATGGACCAGGACTTACTTGACTATTTGACCCTTAAAATCTATGAAATGGAAACATACACATTGTAGTAAATAAAATGTTCTTTATATCCTTGTTATAAACAGATCCCCAATATTACCTGATTTAAGTATATTTTGCAATGTGCTTACTTAGATTAAGATAGACCTCTTTTTAAATCCATCCCATGCAAAACATTTAACTCAGGTTAAATTTTCATTCAAATCTACTCCAGCCACTATTAACCAAACTATTTTACATTTTCTAAAAGCACAAGAACTCTCACACCATATCATTGGCATCCTTCAGCAAGAGAAACATTACATTTCCAAAAAGCAAACATTTCACAGCATCACAAAGAAGCCCAGATCAGAAACAACTATTTCACAGCACTTATTAGACTTACAAAGTTTTAACGGTTTCAATTCTTGCAGTTAGAAAGGAAAGAGGAGGAAGGCAGGGAAGGAAGGAGAGAGGATGGAGGGAGAAAGGAACCTCATGCTATGTTCACAAACTAATACAGTTGTAGAAACTTGAAAACATTGTAAATTGTACTTCTCTGAATATGGCTTCTTTGGAATAAACAGAAAGTACCATATTTAGCTTCTTTTGTTATTTCTACATGTTTTGTTCCTAAGATAAAAAATTATAATTCCAATTGTATTGAAAAGTATATAGCCAAAAAAGAATCTGAACATAGCATTTCACTTTTCTACTTAACATAAAAATTTGTTAGGAACTTTTTCGAAAACTACTTTTCAAATATATACTATTAAAAAATTAATAAAATTTCAAAAGTAGCAAAAAATAATGAAAACCCAAGTGCAAACCGCATGCGCTACTTGAAAATTCTAAAATAACTCATTTTTCACTTTTTGATTTACCCCATTTATTTCTTCAGAAATCAAAAACATCGTCATCATCATCACCACCATCAACATCATCAAATGACCAATCCCAATCTTTAAATGCCAAATCAAGCAATCTGTAATGGGAGGTTTGCAAATTTATACTTTAAGAATACTCTTTAGGAATGGCAGTTTCATAAATTATTATCTAGAAATCACACTTTGAATGTGCATGAGCATGTTTACTTTCCCTCCATCAATAACATGATCAAGATGGAAACAGCCAGGAAATCTTCTTTCTCTTTTATAAAAATGTATATAATCATGTTGGCCAGGTATGCTTTCTAGAATACCAGAGAACTGAAGACAAAGATAGGAAGTAGTCTTCAGAATGTAGCTTTCTCCATTCCAGTAGGACCCTACTTGCTCAATGGGTCACCAACAGTTATGCGCTCCATGAAAAACTACAGACGAGGGAAAATCCACAGGTATGTAAGCAACATTAGCAACTTATCTTGGCTCAAGAAAATGGACTTACAGCAGAGATATATGTGGTCTTCTTTCCAACCCAATCCAATAATCTAAAATATTGCAATCATCTTTATTTTAAAAATAGGAATAGCTTTTGTTCATGCATCAACTTATGTCAAGGAACTCATCTGGTCCCTAAAGTCTCATCTGTGATCATTGTCCTGTGTTCTTAAATTTTAGTATATGTGATTTTCCCAATGCTATTTATAATATATATTCCCAGGACATATCCCAGGAGATTCTGATATAATTGGACTGAACAAAAGGAGGGCAAATATTTGCATTTTAAATTAAATCCCGAGATAAATACTGATGCAGTTGGTTGGCTCTGAGAATCACTGACAGAGCAGGTTGATGGATGATTACCCTAATTTAAAAGTAAACAAACCAACTCAAATTACTCTATTAAAAAAATGGGCTGAATGCAGAATAATATTTGAAAAACTATACTTAAACTTATTGTAAGTATTTGTTTAAATGTCTATCTCATTCATTTAATTAATCAATCACTTCAGGCCTGTGAAACTTGCTGCCAAAGACTGCTTCAGAAAGGGTACATTTAATTCTGTGTTCTACTAGCAGAACATGAGGGTCCCCATTTCTTCACACCCTGCCAATACTAAGTTTCTTAACCCATACCAGTTTGGCAGGTGAAAATGACTTTAACATTTTGCACTGTTTCATCTTTATGGCAATGCCTGCATATTCCTCACTAATTTTTATATTGGGAAGAGGCAACCTCACTAATTTTTATATTGGGAAGAGGCAACCTCCTTTTTCTTAATGATTTCTTTGAGAAATACATATATATATATAAAATATTATATATATATATATATATATATATAAAATATTGCAAATAGATGGTGTTTTTAAAATTTACGAGGCTTTATTTTTGGTTAGTCAATTTGTAGCTTTCTTTTCTTCCTTTGTTTTTATCTTAGAAAATTCTCCAATCTAAAATCAGATACATTATTTCTTCTATAACCTTATTAACTTTTTCCAAAAAATTACTGTTAATTTGCTGATATTTAGAAATGGAAAAAACCCCACAAAGATAATAATGACATAATAGCTCCCTCCACTCCGAGTTTAAAATTGTGTTTGCAATGCCTTACTTCATAAAACTGGAAGAGAATTTGTTTGAGTTTTGGCTTTACACTTTTCTTTAAGGCTTAAATATTGCATTTTTAACAAAAGATCTTTGGTGGTGTGCAAGGGCCTACTACATGGTGATGGAAGATTTGATTTTGAGGGTGGACACACAGTGCAATATATAGACCTTACATCATAGAAATCTACACTTGAAACCTATATGAGCCTATTAACCAATGTCACCCCAATAAATTTATGTTTAAAAAAAAATCTTTAAAAGAAAACTAATTAAAGAGAAATGGTCCTCAGCAGAGACCAGTATTTTGTGTCTGGCACTCAAACCAATTAGGATCTCCCCAACTATCTTCATCAAAAGTCAGCACTTTACTCACAAATTTCCTAATTTTCCAACACAGTATTTTACTTTTAATTCAAAATTACCACGAAAACATTTCTCTGGAATAGCATTTCTATACATTCATAAACTGTCAATTTATTTCTCCTCGAATGACTGTGAAGCAGTGGAGCATTACAGGTGAGAAGTGGAATTGGGAATGAGACTTGCATCTGAACTCTTGGCTCTGCCACTCAGCTGTGTGACCTTAGGCACATAATGCTTCTGGGTCTCAGTCTCTCATCTGTGAACTGGAGAAATTAATAGCTAAACCACAGGTTGGTTTTGAGGATAAGTTAGTACAGTTAAAGAAGAATACTTGGCATATAATATGCCCTCAAAACTATTAATAATAATAACAGCTAACACCATTTAATTATATTACTTTAAAACATTCACCACAGAAAAAAGGGAAGTGCTGCAAATAGGAGAGTCAGAACCAGGAATGCCACAGAAGTCAAGGGGAAAATGTAATAGTGTAGTTGTTAACAACACAAACACTGAAAAAAAAGTTTTTAAAAACTTTTAAAACTGGCTGGTTCAGTTGAACTCATCCAGTGAACCAAAAGGTTGCTGTTTCTATTCCCAGTCAGGGTTGCAGGCTTGATTCCTGGTAGAGCACATGCAGGAGGCAGCTGATTGATGTCTTGCTCTCATCTCTCATTTCTTTCTCTCTCTCTCTCTCTCTCTCTCTCTCTCTCTCTCCATGTCACTCTCCAAAAATCAATTTAAAAAATCTTAAAAAAAAATTAGATGTATTTATGGGTATTCTGCTTTAGTGTATGATGCTATCTAACAAAGCCAGACATTTGTTTTAAAAAAGACACCATATAAATTAAACTAAAGCTACACTGACTAGTGCCAGGACTATTATTAAATAAATACAAATAAAGAGCTAGATATTTAATTACTGCTGATATACACCAGAAATTCTGTTCCTAAGTTTTCTTAGATGATTTTTTTTTAATTTTTTATTGATTTCAGAGAGGAAGAGAGAGGGAGAGATAGAAACATCAATGATGAGAGAGAATCATTGATCAGCTGCCTCCTGCATGCCCCCCACTGGGGATCGAGCCCACAACCCGGGCATGTGCCCTTGACTGGAATCGAACCTGGGACCTTTCAGTTCGCAGGCCGATGCTCTATCCACTGAGCCAAACCAGCTAGGGCTTAGATGATCTTTTAACAGCTCTCTCCACCTCTCTATAGGAATATGTTATAAATTAGTAGAATATTAAAGGCCATCTAGTCAATGCTTGGCTCGAGCTGGAGCTATGCTGCTTGATGTCAGACTGCGCATACGACAGACTGAGGAGCATGGCACTCTAACAGCATTGCCAAGCAGCATCTAAATCAGGTAAACAGTTTATAAACCCTATTCTTCCCAATTCAGAGCTCTGATTGTCTGATAGCTCTCCCTTCCAAAGTTAAAAACGTGCCTTTCTGCTTGGTTCTTGCTCTAAATCTTCGTTGCTATTTATAATCTCCCATCCTTTCAAATAATTTCTTCTTCAGAAAACTACCCTTAATTTTTTCCTTGCTACATGTGTAATACTTTCAAACGAACCACTACTACCTCAGTTATTCTCTTCTGTACACCCTCCAATTTGTGCTACTCTCAAAATGTGACACCCAAAAAATGAGTGCAAACTGTACGGTTATTCACATAAGACAAGAGATATACAATTTTATGAGTTAATGAAGCAATGGAGGCATAGATGTTAAAAACAATGAAAATATTGTTGCAGAGGCATAATAAAAAACAAAATATTTTAAATGTGCCCATCTTTACATTTAAAATGTCAGAGTATATTAGATTAAAATTTTTTCACAAAAATACCCTATGCATTTTACAGTCCGTTTTGCTATTAGTTTTATCTACATGCATAGTTGTGAGAGAAAGAAATCCCTATTACTTACTGTTGGCTACGCAAAATGTATTAAAAAATCAATGAAGAATGATTCGAAGGGCAGGGCCAGAACTAAAACAAAACAAAAAGCAACAACAATCAAAAGTAAAGGTGCCTTCAAATAGACCATGATGCTGAATTGGGGGAGGAGGGGAGGAAAAGGAAAGTCAGTGAACGAGAAACGGTTATGGAAGTGAAGTATGCCTCATTTTGTCTGGAAATTGCTTCTTTATATAAATTAACTCTATGTGTTATCATATGTAGTGACATCATTAACTTGTCCAACAGGACAAAAGAATAAAAAATATAAAGAAGACTACTGCTCCTACAGTCCTGAAACTAAACCAATTATTTGTCCTTCTAGAGTCTAAATTATAAAGAAAGATAATACCACCCATCTGGCGTGGCTCGGTGGTTGCCGACCTATAAACCAGGAGGTCACAGTTCAATTCCCCATCAGGGCACATGCCTCAGTTGCAGGCTTGATCCCAGTGTGGGAAGCACAGGACGCAGCCGATCAATGATTCTCTCTCATAATTGATGTTTCTATCTCTCTCTCCCTCTCCCTTCCTCTCTGAAATCAATAAAATATTTTAAAAAAAGAAAAAGATAATACCAAATCTACCCCATAGGAGTATTTTAAAGATCAAATAAAAGAATACATCGTTAAATTATATATGGAAGCACCTCAAAAGCTGTAGAACATGATACAGCGTATTAAAATGCCATTAATACACTAATAGTTCTATAATATTAATGCTAGAAATTTAATAGTTTTTAGATGTTTGGTACATGGCACACGGAAATGACATTGAATGTCTCTGAATTCTTTAAGTTTCTTCAGCTTAATTACTATCATATAATCACTAATTTTGTAATATTTTTAGCATACCTCACATAAAAATTCAACATTTTCACTGCTGAAACACCAATTCTACCTTTGTCATTCTAAATTATTTCCTTGTGATATTAGTTTTAAGAAAAGTTTCATATAAGATGTCTGTGGTTAGAATGAAAAGATTTCTGATAGTACAGCCAATGAACATCATTATTCATATACTGAAGGTCCTGTGTTAGGGAACAAAAAGGGTACCTGAAATTAGACACCTGATCTAAGTATAGCCTTTAGCTAACCAACTCTTCATGTTCATTTTAATAAATAGCAACATTTATCAATGCTGTATCTAATAAGACAAGACATGGCTTATTCTGAATAAAGAACTACATTACTATACTGTCGCCATATAAAAGTGATTCCCCAAAAATATTTTTGTGCATTAATGATCCTCTCTGAACTTACGCCATATTCCCAACTCCACCTCAATTACAAGGAATGTCCACTTCACCCATGTTAATATCTGTTAATATCTGCATTTTTAAAGCTGATCTATATTGCCCTTTAAATAAAAGACAAATTATTGTTTTAAACTTAAATTTGAATTAAGATTTCAGTCCTACCTCCCAAGTCATCTAATATGAAAGAGGTTTAGAAGTTTGCAATATCAAACACAATGTGCGTACCTGACACTTGGAGCTGTGTGTGCGTCCTGTCTACTAAAGCATGAAGTTGGTCAATGTGCTTATCCACCCCTAGAATGCTATGATTATAGACCTAAACATGGCAAAAAATTAGCCCTTTAAATATTTTTGGTTGAGTGTAATATATGTGATTTAGTAAATAAATTTATATTACATTCACCTAAATCAATGAATGAGACATGCATGCTTAAATAGTTTCAAAGATTTGGTATTCCATAATTCATTAAAATATCAAGGAAAAGAAAATTGTAATTAGAAAAATTTGTAGTTTGAATATGAATAGTAAAATATTTCTAAAAATATTTTCATCTTTACCACATTTTTAGCTATTACCTTGGTTTATTCGGGGCAAGCTGTCGACTTGGCCGTCTAATAGACTGGTTCTGTTGTATCTTCATTGAAGTTCTAGGAGATGACCGTGCAAAAGGGTCTGGAGCTGGAGGCTTTTTAGGTATCTTTTTCACCAACCGACTAACCCACTTTTGCTGCTCTTCTGTAGAGTTTGCTAATACCAACAGATTCTTTGCCGTTGAAATATCATAGTAGACTATAAAAATATTTGAAAAAAATTAATGTGTTTAAAATGATATGAACATAAATAATATTGACGGAGCAAGTAATTTACTATTTACCTTTGCAAGGTGCTATAATCTCTTCCTTTTTGTCCATGTGGTCTTTATGACATTTAATATGGCAGCGACGGCATTCCAAAGCAGGAGGAGGTTTGAACATATGCCACAATGGCTTCATACAAGCCTCACAGTTGGTTGGAAAATGATAGAGAGTAGGAATAAATTCATGTCCTTTGTGGCAAATATAATTTGACTTTTCTCCCACTGGCTCCACTGGAAATTCTTGTTCCTTCTTACTTTCTCCTTCATTGGCATACAGAATCTATAAATACCAAAAAGCACAATGAGTGATTTCTAAACAAAAGCTATTTTTTAAATACTAACGATTCTTATAGCATAAATAAAATAAAATTAACCTAAGTTATTCAATAAGAAGAAAATGCACCTGATGTTCTAACATCAGTAGATTCTATCTCATAAAGAGCTTATATGAGAAGTCATTATATAGTCACTTTGGTTAATTTCAAAAGAGTCATTCCTGTTCAAATGGTGCCTCTTTTTTTCTCCATGATATCTTACTATGTTCAGCAGTCTTAGCAGAACAGGCTAGCAAGAGGTAAATTTGCACACGATGCGTGTTAGAAAGTTTTTCTGGGAGGGAGTATTCAAAATAATCACCTGAAGAGATGTGGCAATTATATGACTTGATGCTTTTATGATTTTCAAAAATAGACAACTGGTGATAATTGTAAACACAGCTATAACTGAAAAGACTTGTGTTTGGAGAGTTAAGGAAGAAAAAAGGAAAAGATGTATGATATACTCCAAATAAACATGATAAGCACCAGAAAATAATTTCCCCATAGTACACCAAACATAATGGCTTTTACACAGAAGGAGCTCATCAATAACTAACTGGTGGTCTAAATTTTTTTTTAAGAAATTTTAATTTTGTTGTTGTTAATTCTCACCCGAGGATATTTTTCTATTGATTTTTAGGGAGAGTGGAAGAGAGAGGAAAAGACAGAGAGAAACATTGATGTGAAAGAAACACACATCGACTGGTTGCCTCCTGCGCGTGCCCTGACCAGGGCCCAGGCCGAAGAGGAGACTGCCACCAAAGTACGTGCCCTTGACTAGAATCAAACCCAGGACCCACTGGTCCACAAGCTGATGCTCTATCCATTGAGCCAAACTGGCTAAGGCTGGTCTGACTAATTTTAAAATGGAAGTAGTAAAAAGAAGAATTAGGCTTCACTTTAAATCAGAAGGAAAGGGCTATTGGGTTCACATTTTAACTTCACAAGCAACTTTTTTCACTTCCTAGAGAGCTGAGCATAAAACCACCAACAGAAGAAGAAAGTTTATGCTTAAAAAAATGTCATAAGCAACCTTGAACAAAAGAATAGCAAAGGCCGGAAACATGATATAAATACACTACAGACTTTAAAATGTAAAATGGAGAGAGAAATGAAGATATATCCAAACAGAATAGGCATGAAAATCACAAAAGAATGAACGACCTTTAAATGGAACTAAAATTTAAAGGTAATCTGAAGATAGTCCAAGAATAAGAAAAATCGTTATGTTATGTCACTCTTAGAATCTCTAAAGGTGAAAGAAAAAAAACAAAAAACAAACCAACCATCCAAAAACGAAATAAAACTATGTATCCTTGGAATTTCTTTAGCATCTGCTCTATATACATCTGTCTGTGTAACTGGTCGGACATGAAACAACTTGCTGTAAAAGATTTTTAATAAAGAAATAAACTATTAGCAAAAGGTCAAATTACATTAGTTATCCTATACTGGTCAGAAGTTAAAACTGACTACTTTGACCCATGTTAGAAGGTCAGAGAGAATATCTTGCTAATTATATTACACCAATCACTCCTTGAGACTTGGAGAAAATTTTAGTAAGTCATAAAACTTTCTAATTCATTTCAGAAAACAACTAGTAAAGACCCATGAAATAAAAATGTCTTAGCTAACTTATATCTCAGACGCCCATCTACATGAAGCAAATATAAGAAAATGTAACAATAGTCCAGCAGCAGCTATACTATATGAGTAAATAGACATACCACGTGACTAATACATGCACTAATTTGACAAAAAATGTCGTGTTACTCTCTTATACTTTAAAAAATGAAGTTCCTAAATATCCTAATAAAAACACTTACTCTATATCTAAAACCATGTATGGATTAGAATGTTCTTTATCTTGTTCACTGTCATAGAAAAGAATCTTCTTACTGCTTACGATCACATACTGTTAAAAAGAGGAAGGGAAGAAATTAATGTTTAAAATTGATATGTATCTTATTTTCTTTGAAAATAAATTCTCTATCAGCAATAAAAATCATATAAAAACCTACGTTAAATAACTAAAAAGTTCTTAATATACCCTTAGAAAAGTTTTCCCTAAGATAATGAGAAATTTTGTTTGTATATAACTTAAATAAGCAAATTGAAAATGAACTCAAATATTTTTTTGGACTGATTCAGCTTAAGATCCAATAACATAGGTTGCCAACCTGTAGCTATGGTTTGAATGTTTATGTTCCCCCCAAGTTCATATGTTAAATCCTAATTCCTAATGGGATGATATGAGGAGGAGGGGCCTCTGGAGAAGTGACTAGGTCATGAGAGCAAAGTCCTCATGAATGAGATTAATGGAGTTCCAGAGAGGACCCAGCCCTTTCTACCACGCGAGGACACAACGGGAACTGTGCAACCTGAGAGAAGGACTTTACCAGACCCAAACAGGCCGGCAATCTGGACTTCCAGCATCCAGAACTATGAGAAATAAGTTTCTGTTTTTCATAAGCTACCGAGTTGCGGTATACAAGCTTCAATGAACTAAGACACCTCAAAGACGAACGTAACATCAATAATCATAGTAACAGAGGAAAATAAATAAATGGGTCTGTCATATCCAGATTTGTTTTCCCACCAAAACCTATTTTATTATTAACAATATATTAATGACAAAAGTTATTTTTTACAAAGATATATAAAACCATGTCATTCCAAATCAGACAGTGCAAAAAAGTTTTATGTGTCTGAATGTTTTAGTTATATTACTTATATGTTCTTTATACCTACAAAAGTGAAATGGCTGTATGTAGCTAAACCACAATGAAAAGTACCAATTACCTTTCTAACCCATCCAAACTTCTTAGTGTTGTTTCTCACAGGTAATGAAAGCCATCCCTCTAGTCTTGATTCTATAAATACACATAGGAGGATAAATATAACAATTCTAAGAAAATGAGAAATTTAACAATATTTTAATATAAAAGTCACAAAACAAATCAATTATATCCTTCAGAATTTACCATTGCTCATTATCTAGGATATAATAACAATGCGGGATCAGTAAAAGCAAGTTATGCAATGCAAAACAAAATCCAGGTTATATCACATTGGAAATATATATCCTATAGTTTATAAAGTCAAATGCCCTGCTGATTGAATTCATGCATTTGCACAGTTCAGCAGAAAGCTGCAAAGAAGAGAAGCAGCTCTTTATTCTCACTATACACCTGTACTAGAACCCTTGGTTTTTCCTTTGGAAGGAGGCCTCATTATAGATATACTGCACATTTTCTTCGAAAAGAAAACATTTTAAGGGAGTAATTGCATGTTCAGAGAAAATTAACTTTTAGAATGGCTATAATAAAATTAAATAAAATTATGTAAATTATAGATTAAAATTGATTAATGCATAGCAATACAACCACATGATTTCTAAATTCCAAAATATCAAAATCAATAAAATTCTAGTAAAGACTGAATCCTTATAATTTGTTCTACTGGCATTTGATCAGCATCTTTCAATAAAATAATTAAGTGAAATAAGCATTTTTGGATATTACTCTATTAATAAAAGTAGCTATCACTTGTTTAACATCTACTACATGTCTGAATCCGTGCTAGATGCTTTACCTAAACTTTCTTAACTCTTACCACCCCATAGAAAGGTCACACAGGGACTCCAGCGCCTATATACTCTCTGACATCAACACCCTTCCAAACTGTCTGAACAGAAAGAAATGCTGTCATTAAAAAAGAGCCCACGTGCTCAACTGTCTGGACATGGTCCTATGCCAGCTTAAGGGACTAAGTCAGATGACATCTAACACTATGCATAAGACTGAAATAATTTTATTGCTAAGCTCTAAAACAACTTCAACAGGCTCACTTCTGATTTATATTATATACCTGGGAAATGTGGTGACAACGTAAGTAACTATAGTTATTTTACTTTGAATTCAACTAATAAGAGACTAAATTTTACTTTACATTCAACTGCTCATACATTAATTTCCTGTGGCATTTACATTACATGTTTTTGTACCCAGACTAACTTTGTGTTAAACATAATTTCATGTATTTTCTATCCTGTTTCTTCATTTAAACGATAAGAGCAAGGATCAGGTCAAATTGTTTTATACTCTCTTTTAAGGCCAAGCAAAATGTTGCCTAGGCAAGCACTTGATAAAAACCCAAACGCGTTCTCTGAGACAGTCTACATGCTTTTTCAGTACTGTCACTCTTGATATGAAGCCTCAAAAAGAGTTTCTTCTTGGTTGAAAATGGCTGAAACAGGCAGTGAAACCACATGCCCTTAAATGATACGAAGTACTGTCTCATTTCTTGTAAGCTGACTAAATAAGTCTATCAATTGTCACAGCAATGCCAAGTGCAAATGCCCCCCAAAACAAACTCTTTGTCCATGCAGGAGTCTCTTTTTAACTGGGACTAGAGCAATTTGTTAGTGAATATTAGTTAATGTTACAAAAGTTTTTCACAAGGACTAAAATTAAGGGTAGTCAGAAAAACCTCAAAGGTGAAGATTTTCAGGCTATCACCTGTATCATTAGGTTCCGATGAAATAGGTAAGTAAGGCAAAGATTCTTCTTCTGAGTCAGAACCAGAGTCAAGAAGCACATGAGAACTGGAAGGCTTAGTGGCAATATTGAGAGAGGTAGAGGAACGTTGGTAGGTGAATGACATGGATTCCATAGTGTGTGATTGAGTGATATGAACTAAACACCCAACATAAAGAAAGTAAGAATGCAGAAAAGAGTTAAGAGAAAATAAACTGAAAGTTTCAAGAGAGCTGCCTATAATATATAATGAGATAATTTAAATATCTAAATATGTGAAACTTTCTTTTGCATTTTTAATGAAGGATGTTGTCAAAGATCACTAAGTAAAATAAGTTAAAACTGTTGTTTGAATCCCTACTCCAAGGAGTAGGTTTCTGCCTTAAAGAAATGACAAACACTTTTCCTCAAGAAGAAAGTCAGTCACAGGGTTTAAATAATCAACAGGTTTATATTTAAGACAAAAGGCTTTTAATAAAAATAAAGATAGGGCTGAAAACAAGTTTGTTGTACCTGGAAATCCATCATCTGCCTCAGCATCCCCTGGTCCACTGCCTGTACTGGAACTGTCCATGCCCATATGTAAGGCCTGGAGCTGTGACCGCAGCTGCTCAATGTCACTGTCTTTACTGTCCAGTGTCATCTGCAGTTCAATGCGAATCTGGCTCTCTTCAGCTATTTGCTATGAGGAATTAAATTGTATCAAATTAACTGGATGCCATATATCTCATAATTTTGCTTCTTAGTCCAGTAATTATTAATATAAATGTTCTATAATCAATAAAATATATACAGACATGAAAGTAATTCTACTTCTTAAAAAAGAAGTCTTTAAACTAGAATTCCAAAGGTATCCTTACAGCCTGCATCTCATTCAGTTCTTTCTGATACTTGATCATCTGCTGGGTCAATTTTTCACGTTCCGATTTCAGCTCCATATGTAGCTTTCTATTCTCCTTCTCTTTTCTCCGCACATCTGTGTCACTACCACGCTTGATAGGTTCTTTTCGATTCATGATCTCAGCCAACTTATTCACAGCCTTAAAAACATAAAAATAAAAATATGTAAACAAAAAATACATTACATTGGTGGTTTCGTGGTAACTCACCAATAGCAAATTATATAGCCACTAATGATCTCCTTCCCTATACACAGGGCCACAAAGAAACACCTTATAGATTAGGAAACACACCTCCTTTCATTACTCGTTATCCTTCCCCAACCTCTATTCTACTAGTTTTTCATTCATGTTTTCAGAGAACTGTGATTTAAAATGCTTATAGGTCTGATCTGATGTCACTTTCTTCCAATTTGAGTTTTTGGTTTTAAGACAGACTTTTACTAGGCAGATCTTCTTTGATCTGGAAGAGAATTTGGCAGTTGTACTCCATTAATAAAATACATGTCCAAGCACAGAGCAAAACATATGGGACTCAAAAGTATTGGTGCTGTCTACACCACCATGAGAGTTGACAGAAGGATGGTCAATATCACAGGTACCTTTTTCAGAATGACCCTTTTTTAGGCTGTCAGCAAATGGTCATTCTCTAAAGTTTCTTAAAAAGCAGAAAAAAACTTATCAGATTATAATAAAAAATTAGGAGGGAATGTGATTCCATATGGAAAAATTAACAAAAACTTTAATAAATATTGAACTAAACAATGTTAATCAAATCTAACTTCTATTACCTTGGCAAAAGTCAGATAACTGGGACTGTTCATAAATACTGATACATTCACTGACAACTACAGCTAATGTGTAATGCCAGAAGTCAAGTAGAAAAGACAAACTAAAAAAATTTCAAAGTCCTATTTAGAGTTTACTACATACTTGCGTTTTGAGTGTTCTCTCTGTTAATAACTGCTTCTCAAATTGTGCTTTAATAGCTGCTGCACTTATCTCTTCATCTTTCAACCTTGACAGTTCTGAAACACAGAAAAATGTCACCATTATATTGATAACTAAGCCACTGACCACCATTAGGTATATTTAAAATTAACATTCTTTGTTAATACATACGTTCTTGGACATCTTTCAATTTGTTATTTAATTCTTCTTTCTCATTTGCAAGATTGGCAACATCACTAGTTAATGTCCTATTAGTTTCTTCAAGCTAAGGAATTAAAAATTTAAGTTATCAAGCAAGAATTCAAAATGAAAATATCCTAGACTGTTACTAAAACTCCTGTTTTTCTAAGTACATCTATCTCTAAACTTCCTGTCTTTGCACTACCTTACCAAACTTCACTTTTGAAGAAAACTTAAACCATAATATACTTCATATGCACCCCAGAAAGCCAAAAAAATGCCCTCTTCTTAAATATCCTCAGCAGTATTTTTAATGAGAAAAAATTTAATAAACTTAAAAAAAGCGCAAATACTGTAACAAAGCTCTGCATTGCACCGTGCAGAATAAACAAAAGTTAAAAGTGCAGTACTTCTTTCAGAACATTATTTTAAAACAGAACATAAAATTTTACTAAAGTTGATGTCCTTTTGTATTTTCGCCAAATCCTATTCTTCCTGAAGGAATTCTCACTGTGAACTGTGCGTTCATCCTTCATTCACGATTGTGTACTTTCATTATATATACATGAAATAATATATAGTGGATTTTCATGTGATTTTAAATTGTCCATAAATAGCACCGTGCTGTATTTATCTTTCTGTACCTACTTTCACTTGATATTATATTTAGTTGTTGATACAGAGACCTAATTAATTCATTTTAACTGACATAGTTCCATATTCTACCACACTTCATCCATCCACTCATTCCTCTATTGATAAGACATTTGAATTTTTGCTATTACAAATATACTTACTGCTATGAGTATTGTGCCTGAATTCCTCTAGCATATTTATCTTAATGTTGACTTTCTTTGGATAATATAAATATTTAAAATTTACTGCCCTGCCAGAACCGGTTTGGCTCAGTGGATAGAGCGTCGGCCTGCGGACTCAAGGGTCCCAGGTTCGATTCCGGTCAAGGGCATGTACCTTGGTTGTAGGCACGTTCCCAGTGGGGGGCGTGCAGGAGGCAGCTGATCAATGTTTCTCTCTCATTGATGTTTCTGGCTCTCTATCTCTCTCCCTTCCTCTCTGTAAAAAAATCAATAAAATATATATATATATAAAAAAAAATTTACTGCCCTAACCGGTTTGGCTCAGTGGATAGAGCGTTGGCCTGCGGACTCAAGGGTCCCAGGTTCGACTCCGGTCAAGGGCACGTACCTTGGCTGCGGGCACATCCCCAGTAGGGGGCGTGCAGGAGCCAGCTGATTGATGTTTCTCTCTCATCGATGTTTCTAACTCTCTATCCCTCTCCCTTCCTCTCTGTAAAAAATCAATAAAATATATTTTTTTAAAAATTACTGGAAACTGCCATACTATTTATAATCCTATTCTATGCCATACTAAATCTACACTCCACATAGCAGTAAATACAAATGCCATTTTCCAAACATCCTTCAAACATTTAAAATTAGTTAAGGTACTTAATTTCTGCCAGTGTGATGGGTGGAAACAACACTAGAAGCAGACAGTTAAGTGGATCGAAAATCTCGTAGCCAGCATGTACAATGTTTCATTTGGATTTATGTTATTTTTCTAGACCTTGTAAGGAAGATTTATGATATAGTAATTTAATTATAATAAAAAATGAACCAAGAATTTTACTTACAGATGCAATTGTAGCATCTTTTTCACTGAGTTCCTGTTTATGCCGAGCCATCATCTCTTTGATCTCCAGCTCTTTCATGATTTTCTCTTTTTCCAAATCAGAATACTGTTCTTCAGCAATTGAACGAGCCAGCTGCTCAGAATCTGCTTTGGTCAAGGTGATCTCCAGTTGAGCAGCTAAGGAGTCCCTACATTTTAGAGACATAGCATCTTCAATTTTCACTCTGAAGTCAAAGTTTACATCTAATTCACTTCATCAACAATTTTTATTTGGAGTATAGCAGGCACTCTTCTAGGGGCAGGGCATGTGGTTATGAACAAGAGACAGGACCCTGTCCTTACCTTTCATCCTGTAATTCCTGTTTCTTCTGCTGTAATTCTTTACAAAGTTTGGTCTTTTCTTCACACTCTTCTTTAAGTTCCCTAACCTGTGTTTTATAGAGAGTCTAAACAGCAAAATATAACAGACATATATCATCATCATCATCATCATCAAGAATAGTTCTACATTCAAAAAACTACCCAGACAAAAAGTTGATACATACAAATATATTAATAACACTGAGAAATGTTGAGCCCCTGAGCAAATTAATAGTTTAATACGCTTTTTGATTTTCATATAATCAACCAATTAACCAATAAAGTTCAGCTAATAATTTAGAAGTGTGATTTTCAACAGAATATCATACTGAGATTTCTCATTAAATGATATAGACTGATAGGGATAAAGAGGCAAAAAAATATTACTAACTTAAACAAGAAATTTTGTTGGCTTAAATCAATGAAACAGAGGTGATATATACTATTTCATATTTTAAAACTGAGCTCAAAAAAGTACAAATGTTAAAATGACAATTTTATTTCTTTCACAGTCTTCCTCTAAAAGCAATGCTTTTAATCAACTTCATAAAGTATGGGCATGTGCTTAGAACTATTTTTCTAACAATGATAATAGAAACTATTCTAAAGGCAAGAATCATTCTCCTGGCTCTGCAGCAAAAATATTCTTAGTTCAATAATTTTTTAATGAATGTGCCTGGAACTTACTGAGAAATACTGTTCTGCTTCAAGCTGATCTTGGAGCTCTTTCATTTGCCCATCTGCATCTTGACGTTCTCTGTGGTAACATTAAGTCAAATGTTTAAATAAGTTATACACATATTAAGCCAGTGACTCTTCCAATGTGTTCTGGGGACAACCTGGAAGTCCCTGAGACCCTTTCAGACAATCCAGGAAGGCATCATTTTCATAACACTAATAAATAAGCATCATTGTGTTTGTTTTCTTAATCCTCACCCAAGTATATTTTTCCATTGACTCTTTTTTTTAGAGTGGAAGGGCGGGGGCGGAGAAACATCAATGTGAGATATTATCTCCCACACGTGCCCAACCAGGGCTGCAATCGAGATACAAGCCCTTGACTGGAATTGAACCCAGGACCCTTCAGTTCGAGGACCAAAGCTCTATCCACTGAGCCAAACCAACTAGGGCTCATTGGTGTGTTTTCTTTTTAACTCCCATTCTCTCACTAGTTGTATATGGACTTTTCTTGAGGGTAAAAGATATCATGATGTCAACACTCCAACAGCTAATGAAATGTATGCTTTTATGTTTTAAAATGGTTTTAATTTCTAAGAAAAAAAATCATTAGATGTAACTCACATAAACAAACATTCTTTGGCCCTCAATAATTTTTAAGAGTATAAAGGGGTTCTGAGACCAAATAGTGCTATATTAAACCAGTAACAAAAATTACATATTTTCATACATGCACTGTTAATCAGCCACTTACGCCAACCAAGTTTTAGAATTAAAAGAGACCCCCGAATTGGTTATCTTATATGAGTTAAGAAGTGACTGGGAGAGGGCCTAAGTGGACATTAGGAGTGCAGGGTTTTATAGCTAAATGTGATGGTAAATGCAAAGATTTGTAAACACTTTACAAAAACGCAGTAAGTTCTACACTTATTTGTGTACTTTTTCTGTTTGTATGTTAATTTTCAATAAAGAAATAAAGTTAAATAAAAAATTAAATTAAAAGCAAGCCTAATTCTAGGCTTATTAAAAAAACAAAAATTATAATTTTTCAAAAACGTATCTTAATGTTTTCTAGCTTCTAATAAATAGGGCACTAGAGTATATCCTTAAAAAGAGCTTTAAAAATTCATATGGTATTTCCTTAACAGTGAAACATTTCCAAGTCCTAGGTACTAAGGGACAAACAAAGAACACATGGGAAGTAAGCTTGGGAGACAGTCCCAAGAGGAATCTTAAGAGCACGGGGTGAAAACCCCAGACGTTTTCTCCCGCTCCAATACCACCGCTCTCTGTCACTGCATCACAATAAGGTGGTGGTAGTAACACTGCTGGGGAAGCAAATATACTAGTAATCTTCTTAAAGAACAATAGTGGCACTCTACACACCACTGATACAACAACAATAAAAAACATGGTCAAGAAATTAAATGGTCCAAAAATATCCTCAGATAAACCAAAATTAAGGTAATTTACATGTGGATAGTTGTGAATATTAGTAAAACTTTGTCTCAAACAATTAACTTACTTTCGAAGTTCAGCATTCTGTTTTTCCAAGTTCATTTTCATTTCCATGAGATGATTATTCTCTTGTTTTAACTGCTTTTCTGACATTTTTAGTGTGTTAACTTGCTGTGTTTGCATCTTCAAGTCATTTTGTGTGAGGCAGCGCTTTTGAGTTTCCTGCTCTATTTTTAATGTCAAGTTTCTAACCTAAAAAAATAAATTATGTATTTGGTATGTAAGTAAATTATTTTGATTTTTCTTATCAATAAGTTTGCAGCATATATGATGATGCAAAACAGATTTTTGCCCTCAGGCAGTGAATTCATTTCACAGTAAAATATTTTTGATAATGTTTTAAAAAATAAAATATGGCTTTTACATTAAAAATAACTTTACAGTTTTAAAAATTATTATTTGTTTAGTATATTATCCAAATTCAATAAAATTTAAAGGTTATAAAATGTTATTTTATAGGAAAAAAATTTTACATTATGAAATCATCATTGTTCCTTTACAAATAAGCCTAGTTTACTATTAATTCATTAAATAATATATTATTTATTAGAAACATACTTACATCTTCATTGAGCACATCTTTCTGTTTAAGGAGTTCATTTACTTTCTGCTGTGACTGTTTCAGGTCACAGTCTAATATAGAGCATTTTTTCTCAGCTTCCAGCAACAGGTTCTCCACTTTCTGTTTTAAAGTCCTTTCCTCCAAGAGCTTTTTTTCCATTTCTATTGCCACAAAATAAACATAACCATGAATATATAAACAAAAGAAGCATATCAAATACATGATGTAGTGCTAATAAAAATTATAGTAAATGATGCTCCTTAAAAATATTTTTAAATCCTGTTTAATATTTTCATCACTCCTGTTAACGTATTTGAAATGTCAATAATTTCATGCTTGAAAATTAGGTATTTCGTTTACAGGATATAAAAATTTACCACATTCTGTAATATATGTGTTCTAATGGAAATAAAATAATTCTACCTTTATTTATGGTTCTAAAAGATACTTATATCTTTTAGCCCTGGCTGGGTGGCTCGGTTGGTTGGAGCGTCATCCCATACACCAAAAGGTTGCAGTTTTGATTCCCGGTCAGGGCACATACTTAGGAGGGCATATACTTAGGTTTCTTTCAGGGTTCCATCCCCAGTTAGGGCAATCAATGTTTTTCTCTTGAGAACATCTGTTTCGTGTTCTCTCTCTCTCTCTCTCTCTCTAAAAAAAAATAAAAATCAATAAACCTATCCTCGAGTGAGGATAAAAAAAGATACTTATATCTTTTAAATAAAGATTTTTCCCCCCTGCTATTCTGTGCCCCTCAGTGTTACTTGTCTTATCTTCAAACATTAAGGTAGATTCTATTACCTCTATGGCTCTTTCCATACTAGCATATTACCAGGCAGAGGATAACAACTATGTTTTAGGGAGGTGGTCAAGGACAGGGCTCTGGAACCAAACTCTTTGAGTTTAAACCCTGGCCCTGACACTTTCTAATTATTTGACTGGTCAAGTTAATTAACCTCTCTGAGGCTCAGTTTCCTTATGTCTAGAATGGTGATAATACCTACCCTCACAGGGACATTATACAGATTTTTAGTTAATGTATGTATAGCACTTAAATGTTGCCTGAACTATGGCAAACACTTAATAAGAGCTCACTGTTTAAGAAGAGTTTCTAATGACTTAAGGAAATGTTCACAATTATTTTTTAAAAGAAAAAAGCAAAACTATACAAAATTGAGAAAATATAAAAGTATAACATTGATTACTAGGACTATGATTAATCTTTACTTACTTTTTTATACTTGAAAATCTGTTCAAATCCAACTAGGTTCCTCTGCTCCTTCATACCTAATGCTGAACATCTAATTATCATTTACTATAAAGTTATGTTAAGTAAAAATTAAACCTATGAATGTTCAGTTTTTAATGAACTGTCTTCAAAAGTGTGGAAAATGAAACTATTCTTCACATGCTATTAATAGCTAGCATTTCTAAGCACTTTTCATGTATCACTGAACTTGGTTTTCACAACAACCTAATACTTTAATTGCCCCTTTGTAGGAAACAAGGCACAGATAGTTATGTAACCAAAGTCACAGAGCTAGTAATTCATTGATGGCGAAGTCATATTCTTAATCAACGGAGGCAATGACCTGCAGTGAGAAGATCCAAGGCTTTAGAGCCAGGTTTGATTACCACCTATAACATTTAAGTTTTGTGCACTCCTTCAAATACTAACGTCATCATGCATCTTATGTTAGTGTTATAACAAGGAGTTTGAAAAAAATGGCAGTTATTATTATACTGAATTTATTTTCATCAGTTCAGAGAATAACCTATGAATGAATATACACATTTTAAAAAAACAATCACCCTAATGTAGGCAGAGAAAAAATAAAAAGAGGCGTAAGTGATACGTGAATTTGTTGAGGTGATGAAAAGACAGATTCTATACCTTGTTTTGGGTGATAGTCACAAGTTGTGCACTACAAATGTAAAAAATGTTTGCATTTTATTGCACCAAATTATACTCCAAAAGAAATTCTTATCTGTATTCTAGACCACAGACAGAAAAACAGCCATTTCATCTCTTATCATCCTGAATTAGTGCCTTAAATATCAACCAAAAATCTCCACCATGAATACATTAAATAATTATAAGCCTATTTTTTGCTAAGTTATTCATAAATGTTATATTTCAATATGAAATAAAGTTTCTATTAAGAGTTTTATGAATCTTTCATAAGAATATTGATTTCCTTTGTAATTGCAAATCCATCATAATTATAAACACAGTTTGGAAAACAAGTAATTAGCCTAAAACAATTCCAAGATACAAGCTGGTTTATGAAAAAGTTAATTTTGTTAATCTTACCCTATATTCATTAGTATTGTAAGGTTTTGACCAAATCTAACTAATATCTTCATCATACCAGAGCTCAAAATACTTAGTGAGCTTCTATTCTAGTTAGCTCAGCTATTACTTTAAAATCTTTACCTTGAAGAAAGTGGCAAGAAACATAAGCCAATGAAATGTTAAACTAAGTATTAAAAAAAAGCATACCCCCCCGCCCAATCTGAGAACTTCACATTCTGCATGCCTGTCACTACCGATATCATGAAAATAGTAATTTCTCTTTGATCTAGTAATTTTGGGGGGCCTTCCTGTCTTAGAAATTATTGCTAAAGGGGAAGGTGGAGTTATATATGTAAAGCTTCCCTAATAGTGTTTCTCCTCCAGTATTTGGCAATAAAATATAAACAAATATTTTCAAAACCAAAGAACTGAATACAGAATCAATTCGTAGTAAGATGATGCTAGAAAACCCTCTTATAAAAATGCATACCTTTCATGGCTTCTGATTTAGCTTCTTCAATAGATTCATAAATCTTATTTTTATCTGCCAACCGTGCTTTTGTAGTTTTATGCTCAGCTTCTTCTTGTTCTAAGCTCTGCTGTATAACTTTTAGTTGATAAGTCATATCTATCTCCATGTTGTTCTTTTCCTATTAAAGATGAAAATGGCAGCTATCAACAAATAGACTGTTGACAATTTCAAAAGGTTACAAAGGTTTTTTAAATAGACTTATCAAGAATGTCCAATATTTCCCCTTTTCTATTCATTAAAATTGCTCGTATAAGTAATCTACATAACTCTACCAGTTCTCTTCCCACTATATTAACCTCCCACAACTCCGCTCTACTATTCTGAGATCTGTATTGAGATGGTTTGATCTCAATAAAGTGACCAATGATATTTTCAATATCAAATTCAACAGACACTTTTTAGTCTTTATCTCACTTGAACTCACTGTTGCCCTTGAAACTATTTCCTTGACCTAACTGACACTGAATTCACTTGGTTCTCCCCATTCTGCTCTCATCTTTTCTGTTGCTTGTGAAGTTTACCCCCAAATTACTGCTTAAACATTGGTGTTTGCTGGAGGCAGTGTTCTTTAGCCAATGCTTCTCCTCTTCCTATATTATTATATCTTAAACTTTTCAAACATATCAAATGTTTCCTTTTGCTCTATCTTAAAAGATCTCAGGATCCTCTACCATTCACACTTACCTTCAATATGTAGGAGACATGTTTTAAGTTGAGAATCTTTAATAACAGAAATCAGTTTATTTTCTATATACCCTCAAAAGATTTCCTAATTCTGTTTTCTATAGTTTGTATCATAAATATATATATTTCTTTTGTGTTTTAAGTAAAATATTTAATGCTGAAATAATTTTTTCAAACTAATAATTCACAAGTCTCTGTCCTGAAAAACTACTGCTCTAAACAAATTCTTCCCAGATGGGCTCTTCCATTTGCATGATTTTAGCTACTTCTATACTGATGACTTGCAAATAATTCTAGCTTCTATTACCATAACTTACTGCTTTATAGATATCCTAATTTGGCTGTTTCACAGGCCCCTCACACTTAGGACTAAAATTGATTTATCATTGTTTCCTCTAAAAGAGCTGTTTTTCCTTTCTTTAAAATAAATTAATGGCACTATTCCGTATTTCTTCACAAAGGAGGAACCTGAACTCATCCTTGAGTACTTACTACTCACATGCCACATCTAACCAATTACTAATTGCTGCCAAATATTCCTTTACTAAATATTTCTCAGATTCACCTCCAGTTCCCATCCTTTTAACCACTGCACTAGAAAAGTCTCCAATATCTGAATACTGAAAGAGTCTGACTTGTCTTATCCTCTTCAAATCTGTTCTCCTCCTGATATACAGTGATCTACCAACTTAAAGATCTTCAGTGGCGCCCTAGCCAGTTTGGTTCAGTGGATAGAGCGTGGGCCTGCAGACCGAAGGACCCCAGATTCGATTCCGATGAGGGGCATATGCCTGGGTTGCGGGCTTGATCCCCAGTGGGGGGCGTACAGGAGGCAGCCATTCAATGATTCTCTTTATCACTGATGTTTCTCTCTTTCTCCCTCTCCAAAATCAATTAAAAGAAAAAAAAAAAAAAGGATCTTCAGTGGCCAGTCCATTACTTAAAGAAACTAAGTTTCTTAACAGAATATTCAAAATCTTGCATGATCTAGCTCATGCCTAGCTCTCTAGCCTCACTCTAGCCACTAAATTCTCACTCTTACAGGAGGACTGTATTGGCCTGCCATTTTTTAAAAATTTCATTGGACACAACCACGCCCACTCCTTTATGTATTGCAGCAAAACTGGGTAGTTGCAACAGAGACATTAAAGCCCACAAAGCCTAAAGTATTTACTGTCTTTCCCTTAAAAGACTGAAATTTGTTGCCCCTGCTCTATACTCCAGAAATATTGAACAGTTTATACTTAAATAAACAGACTAGACCTTTTTTATTTTCCACCCTCTGTGCCTTGCTCATGCTTTCCTCCCCAACTCACAATGTGCCCTGTCATCCAATCCTGCCGTCAGGTCAGGAATTCATCCTGTGCACCTACTCCATCCCTTGTCCATACCTCTATCATTCTATTTACCATACTGCCTTATAATTATCTCTGTGAGTTACTATTACTTTAGAAATTACCCATTAGACTGTAAAATTATTAAAAGTACAGACTGCATCCTGATATTTCTACCACATATAACATACTAAATACTTAAAATGAATAAACAGAATAAACTATTAACTTCAGAGTCTAGAAATTATCCCTAGCTTATAGTATTTTTAAAGAAAAACTTCTGAATGCCAAAAGTCGTAACTATGTATAATTTTTATGACATGTTATAAGTGAAAATCTGAGTTTCCCTTGGACCCCTAGAGAGAAGCATCCTCATTATACACACTCCAGGAGAGTCCCTGCCTAAGCATCTAACATACTAAGAGCTGCTTATGTAGGGCTATGGCAAGCCTTAAGAACTATATATTCTGCCCTGGCCAGTGTGGCTCAATTGATTAGAGAGTTGTCCCATACACCAAAAGGTTGCAGACTCAATTCCCAGACAGGGCACATACCCAAGTTGGGGTTTGATCCCCCACTGGGATGCGTACTGGAGGCAACCAACTGATGCATCTCTGTCACATCGATGTTTCTCTCTCTCTCTCTCCCGTCCTCTCTCTCTAAAATCAATGGAAACATGCTCTCAGGTGAAGATTAAAAAATATATATATAGAAAAAAAAATATATATATATACATATATATATATCCCTAGTCTACAGAACCAAGTCTAAATATAAGAATCCATAAGTATGCAGAAATAAATGGTTTCTCTTATTTTAGAATAAGTTTTCCAATCTGAAACTCTTACACAAATATAAAGATTAATGTTTTACCTTTTCCAAATCAGTGAATCTCTCCTGAAGTTGTCTCTTCTCCATCTCAACTTTTGTTAATAAGATTTTGCCATTCTTTACATCTTCTTCTAGGCCAGATATTCTACCTAATATTGCAACATTTAAAAGAACAATAAATCCACAAAGTGTGTATGTGTATCCTATCTAATAATAGACAAACATGGTAATTGACTGTACCTTCGCCACACCTCCCATTGGCTAATCAGCGCGATATGCGAATTAACCGCCAACAAAGATGGCGGCTAATTTGCATACTGCAGGCAGGGCGGGACAGCGCGAGCTGCCAGCGCGCCGCCATCCAGGGCAGGCCGGCCCCAGAAGCCCCAGAAGCCGCCTGATATGGTAGTAACTCTATCAGTAAGCACTCTGAAAGTCAGTGGCATAAATGCACCAATTAAAAGATTATGAGGGTGAATCAAAAACAAAACCCACTTTAAATATAAAGACACATATAGATTAAAAGTAAATGAATTAAGCTGCAGCCTGTTTTGCTCAGTGGATAGAGCATTAGCCCGTGGACTGAAGGGTCCCAGGTTCGATTCCAGTCAAGGACATGTACCTCAGTTGCTGGCTTGATCCCCAGTCCCTATCAAAGCATGTGCAGGAGGCAACCAATCAATGTGTCTCTCCCTTTCCCTTCACTCTCTCTAAAATTCAATGGAAAAATATCCTTGGGTGAAGATTAACAAAAACAAAGTAAATGGATTAAGTAACATTAAAGAGATTATAAGAAAAATATATTCCAAATTTTGTTAGTTGTATAATGGTTATGTTTAAATTATTAACACCTAAGAAATTGGGTGAAAGGTACATATAATATGCTGTAGTGCCCTAACCGGTTTGGCTCAGTGGATAGAGCGTCGGCCTGCGGACTGAAGGGTCCCGAGTTCGATTCCGGCCAAGGGCATGTACCTTGCTTGCGGGCACATCCCCAGTATGGGCTGTGCAGGAGGCAGCTGATCGATGTTTCTCTCTCATCGATATTTCTAACTCTCTATTCGTCTCCCTTCCTCTCTGTAAAAATCAATAAAATATATTTTTAAAAAAATATGCTGTCGTATTTTATAGTTTTTTTACATGTATGAGATTATTTCAAATTAAAATATTAAAAAATTAAAAGTTAATAAAATATTAATTGAAATGTATCTGCATTACATTAAAAATCTCCTAATTGCTTCTAGCATAATTTATTAAATTGTGCTAAAATTTACAAGGGTTCAATTAAAAAATATCTTAATTCTAAATGATATAATAGAAAATATATAATAGTGCAGTTATAAGCACTTATCTGAAAATAAAAATTTTAAGAAGTGAATTTAAAGAAGGGATTAGCCAAAGAAAATATATGCACAACCCATGGACACAGACAACAGTATGGTGATGGCCAGAGAGAAGTGGGGGGCAAGAGCTGGGTAGAGGGGGCAAAAGGGGGGAAATACGGACATCCTATATAATAATAATAAAAGGCTACTATGCACATTGACTGAACAGCAGAATGACCGGTTGCTATGATGCGCACTGGCCATCAGGGGGCAGACGCTCAATGCTGGAGCTGCCCCCTGGTGGTCAGTGCACTTCCATATGGGGAGTGCCACTCAGCCAGAAGCTGGCTCATGGCTGGCCAGCGCAGTGGTGGTGGCAGGAGCCTCTCCCACCTCCGTGGCAGCACTAAGAATGTCCAACTAACGGTTTAGACCCGATCCCTTGGGGGGCTAAGCCTTTAGTCAGACATCCCCTGAGGGCTCCCTGGCTGCCAGAAGGATGTCTGACTGCAAGCTTAGGCCTGATCCCCCGGGGAGTGGGCCTAAGTCGACAGGTGGACATCCCCCAAGGGGTCCTGGACTGTGAATGGGCACAGGCCGGGCTGAGGGACCCCCCCCCACCCCCGAGTGCACAAATTTTTGTGCACCGGGCCTCTAGTATATATATATGTTAAGAGTAAAAAATTTGGATGTCACCTCATACTTTGAAATTGGTATTTATGAGCAGAAGTTTTATAATTGTTGGTATAGATGATACAGTTGAGATATTGCTTTATAGTTAATGCAACTGGAACCCAATCTACTACCTTGGGAGGCAGCTTGATACTTAAAATACTTCAAACTATTTGAAAGTAAATCTTTTGCTCACAAAATTTCATATTAATGTACTTCTAATACCCTAACTTTACATATTCAGAAATGTGCTACTCCAGTACATTATCCATCATCTAAAGTTATTTCCAAAATATAAATCATTAAGATGAATTCAAGTGCAATATCTATGTTAATACCTTGTAAATCATTAATTATCTCTGATCCATGGGTTCGGTCCCTCCTTTCAGATTCTAGAACCGACTGAAGATTGATAAATTCCTTTTCAAGTTTTAACTTGGCAGTCTCCAACAGGCAATTTTTATCTTGTAGATCTCTATTGTTAGATTCCAACTGCTGAATCTGTTTTGAACTTTCTGCCTGGCTTTTTCTTAACCGGGCTGCAGCATCAGATTCTGTTCGCAGCAAAGCATTGGTTTCATCCAGCTGTCATTCCATTCAAATCAAACAACAACAAACAAACATAGGTGTATATGATGAAAATACCTCAATTTCTTACCCCATTACAAAGTATTTAAAATAAACAAATACCTAAAAATACTTCTTAATGATTTCACTTTAAAATTAGAGGTAAAATCCTCTTGTAACACTGACAATTAAAACTGTTAATGGGCAGTCATAAATGAAATTCAATATCCTTATTACAAACTGAGATCAACTTACTTGTCTCTGGAGCTGATTCACTTTCTCGGTGGATATTTGAGAGTTCTGATTTCTTTTTTTCAAATCTTCGAGTTGATCTTTTAAACTGTTAACTATAATAAAAAGCATTTCAGTGGCAAGAGTCAACACAACACACACATACACACACACTTAATTTTTTTCTTGGTATTTAATATTCTATACCACAAACCATCATTTTCCAAATTTCGTTTCTTGTCTGCTTCATGATCAGCTTTCCGCTGATATTCTGCATTTTTGTGCTGAAGAAGCGCCTTTTCTCTTTCTAATTGTCTTAATGTTGATTCCACATTTTTCCTTAAGGTAATCTGAAATAGTGCTTCAAGTTATTATCAGAAAAAAGCATGTATAAAAATTATAATAAAACAAAAACTATTTCAGTTATTTCAAGCAGATAAGAAAACATAAATAAAAGCTGTAACTGCTATATTATTAAAACTACAATACTGTTTTTCATATTTTAAAAATAGTACACTACTCTTAACACTGTAAGTGTTTTGTTTACTATTGAAAGTCAAACTTTCGATAACATTCTGTCACCACTGAACCATTTTTACGTGATAAAAGCATGGGTCAAAAATGTTATGAATAAAAATTTTAAAAAAGAAACAATGGTCACTTTCTGTTTTTAAGCCATGTCATTAATACAAATGCAATTTTTTTTTACTTTAAATATCTACACATACTAAATTAACTCAAGTTTTGCAAAAACACAACAAAAATGAAGCCTATTATCATGATTATCCTATAATTTTAGTCCTATCCACCCATGCTACAGGTAGATTTTATCATAAACCAAGATGTATATTAATATGGTACCAAGAGAACACTAGGAATCAAAACTTTTTATAAACAAAAATGTTAATAAAAGTGTAGAGCAACTTTACCTCTTCTTCTAGCTCCTTTGCTACTTTCTCTAGGCGAGTATTAACAGATCTAAAGAATTTCAAAAGAAACTGTAAATAAAATTACTCCTAATTTACAATAAAATAATTTACTATAAATTTAAAAATAATCATATAATTACATTTTTAGTAATATGTTTAAACTTAAATTTTATAATATACTATTCAATTATCTACAAAATATACCTGCACTTCTGCTCTATTTCCTCTTTTGCTTGTATCTCAGTGCTAAGGTGTTCTTCTAATGTGTATAGTTTTTTCTGAATCTGTCAGAAAAGAAATTATAATTATAAAATTTGGTCACACTTAAAAGATGAGAGGCTTAAAGAAAACAATGATAAGCTTCTCTTTTCTTTTAACTTAATTTAATCTCCTCTGTAGTGGTACCATATTTATACCTTCTAATGTGGCTTTTATTGACAGGGGGCAATCCCCCATCTATTACTTTCTGTCTAGGACAGTAAACATGTATGTATGACCACACTACGTAAACATGTGAATAAGAACCTTCTGACACAAGTTTCTCATTCATTAGGAATAAAGGATAACCTCCACTGTTCTTCTGCAGATTATTTATGTAAAAATAGTGTTACCATTTGTGCTTATAAAAGGTCTATATACAAAACAAATATTCAGAAAATTTGATTGAGCATGCTCAAATATACTAGTATTCTTAAAAATAAGAATATAAGCTCTTCTTTATATCTTTCTACAGTGCTGGGCACCATACTGTAAAGAGTTATAATCAATAATTTTATTGAGTAAATGACAAATAATGAGTTACAAGTCATCTTGTCATTCTTTTTAAAAATATATTTTTATTTATTTCAGAGGAAGGGAGAGGGAGAGGTAGAAACATCAATGATGAGAGAGAATCATTGATCGGCTGTCTCCTGCACGCCCCCTATAAGGGATCAAGCCCACAATCCAGGCATGTGCCCCGACCTGGAATGAACTGTGATCTCCTGGTTCATAGGTCGACAATCAACCAAGCCACATGGGCCGGGCCATCTTGTCATTCTTTAAAAATCTTTCTAGGCTACATCTGTCAGTCTGTAAGCAAACTAAAGTTACAGAAAGTATTAAATAATCCACTTTTGGAGCATTATTACTTTTATAAAGGCTTTAACTTTTGAGTTCCTTTCATGCCTTAGGAACACTGGCAGGCACTTGACAAATGTGGTTTCATTAATCCTAAAAAAAAGCCCTAAAAAGATGGTAGTACTATATCTACTCAATAAAGAAACTTAAATCCAAAAAAGATGAATAATTGGGCCAAGACAACATAGTTAGTAAGTGGCAGAACAAAAAAACTCAACCTAAGTCTTTGAGATTCCAAGGCCAAAATTCTTCCCACTATTCTTTCTAGTGATTAGGTTCTCCATGGTTTTTAAAAAATTTCATATACCTTAAACAAAACTATATTTTTCCCCTAATAAGAATATACAGACCAATGAACTAGTCATATGTAATTACTATTGCATTAATATAATTTGATCACACTAGTTGTCACATGCTAATTGCTGCCAATTATGTCTTTGATAAACGAAATCATAAAAATACATAATATACATTTTAAATGACAGATCCATAGGAGCAATAATAAAAGGGATAGTTGGTAGAAAAAAGGTTGAGAACTTCTGTCTTGGGAGATGTAGTGTTCCAAATGCTAAGTGGAATAAGGCTATATCAAAACACTGCTAGAGTAATGAGTCTGTTGTCTCAGTTTTTCAAGATATATGACATCAACATACCTCTTGACTTTCCTATTTAAAACAAAGAAAGAAAGAAAAACAAAATATTAAAATGCTTGTTTTGCTTTATCAAATTCCTAAAACACAAATTGTACCAAAATTATTCAACCAAATATTTTAGATTTATAAGTTTTGAAGAGAAAAATGGTTAGCCTCACAAAATACTGTAACTATTTGATAAAATTATCCTTTATATGAATTCATTGCTAAATACTCAAAATTTGAATCTCTCCACTATTTCTGTACTTTTACAACTTATTTTCTGTACTTTTATTGAACTAAGATTATAACATTTTATAACTGGTATTATAGCTATTCATTAACCTACTGTCATGTTTGGTATTAAAACTAAGCCCAAAGCCATGTATAATTCATTGTTTTACTAGCCATTGTATCTTACACAATGACATTTGTCAAAGAAATTAATTAGTTCAATATTATGCTGAACTATATTGCAATAAGGAATATCATCTAATGATTCAAAAAGTAGCATCAAAGAATCTTTTAAAAATGCATGGACATTACTAAAATATTTGGACATGTGATTAAAATAGAGAAGTAAAATTTGTACATACTTCATTTTTCCTTGTTTGTATTGAATCATTTTCTCTACAAGATGGAAAGTCACTTAATAACCTAGAAGAAAAGGCAGGAAAATAAATTATTTTACATGTAATTTTAATCAATTTTCTAATACCAACTTCTTCTCAGAATTAAATTATAATCACAAAGATCTCTGTCTTTCCACTTCAATTTATTTTAAATGAAGCAACATTTTCCCCTCTGGATATTTAGACTGTTTCAATCATTTAAAATGCTAAACTTGCCCTAGCTGGTTTGGCTCAGTGGATATAGAGTGTTGGCATGCGGACTGAAGAGTCCCAGGTTTGATTCCGGCCAAGGGCACATGCCTGGGTTTCGGGCTCAATCCCCAGTAGGGGACATGCTGGAGGCAGCCGATCAATGATTCTCATCATTGATGTTTCTCTCTCTCACTCTCTCTGAAATCAATAAAGAAATCTATTTAAAATAATAATAAAAAATAAAATGCTAAACTTTTCTTGCCTCTCACTCTTACCAGATATTCTGTTATTTAACACTGTTGAGATTGGAGTCTCTAAATGAAACTATACTTGCTTCCTCTTCATCTCAAGTTCTGTAACTATTTTATTCTTCTTTTCTAGACATTTTCTAGAAAGAGACATCTGTCCTCCTTTTCAAAGATAACATCTCTTGATCTCCAGGGCTTAACACATAAAATGATCACTTTTGTCAATCTCTCTCTTAATTGGGTCCTTCCTCACTGCCTATAAACATTCGTGGGATTCTCCTGGCACGGATACCTTCATTTTAGTCAGCATTACGATAGTTTTGAGAACACTACTGGTAACAGGGTGACCAATTCTTGTAGTAACAGGGTGACCAATTCTTCCTGGTTTGCCTGGATTTTATAAGTTTTAAAGAGAAAAATGTTTTAGGATGAAAGTCCCACGCCACATGCTAGGAAACTACTTAGTCCTGGGCAAATCATAATGGTTGGTCACCCTCATCATTACACATGGAAGGACCAAAGCGTTTCTCCAATGTCTTTAATGCTTCACTCAACTATTTAACACTTCAGTGGCTCCTCACTGCCTATAAAGTCAAAAGTCCCTTAGCACACAACAATCATCTGTTGCATTATTCTTCCCCCTAAACTCCAACTTCAATCTATTCTCTAATCTTACCCCCCAAAAATCACTTCAGTCAACCAACATGTATTGAATGACCTGTGCCAGGCTCTGTGCTAGATGGATTTGGGCAAGAAAACCATAGTCTTATCAAGTCCTCCAAATGGTCATAAGCCAGTCATATATATCCTATGTTTGAGCCCCACTGGATTACACTACTCTGCTCTCAATGTATGTTTACATTCCAAACTTTGCTTCCACTACTCACCTCCCCACATCTCGGCTACTCAAAAAACCCTTTCTTATCTTTAAATTTGGCTAACATGCCATCTCTGCCTTGAGGTCTTGCCTAACTTCTCCCTACCCTCAACCCAAACAAGCATGACTTTTATTTTTCTTCCAAAGCATCTTAGATTTTTTGGGTCCCTTTCTTAGAGGCAAATATCACATTCTACCCTTCATTATGAGTATATAACCTTTTCATATCCCTCATTAGTTGACAATCTTCAAAAGCAGGTATTTGGTCTTACCTGTAGCCCAAAATAATATAGAGCATTGCCTTGCATTCATTTGTAAATGAATATCATATAGCATCAGAGAAATAAAATGAAATTAAAAATAACTCTTTTGATAGTCCTTTTAGAAAAACTCACAAGTTTAAAACAAATTAATACTTTTTAAAATAATCCAGTCCCAAAGTAAGACAATGTTTTATAGCTAGACTCTGAAATAATAAAAAGGTAACAAACAAATCACATACAAATTTTCTCTGTAGTAGGTAAATCCTATAAAAGGCAGCTGATTTCCCACAAAAGCTTTAGGAATTGGGAAGGTTTCTACATCTCCTTTATCATCTTCAATGTCATCAAAATTGCTGCTGTCTATGTCACTGCTGAGTTCAGGTACTACTGGAGCTGCCGCTATTAAAAGAAAGAAATTATTTCACTCATAATAAAAAAATAAACTACCCCTATTTTGTTTTGCATTATGAACAATATATTATATTAATATTAACATGCTGAACAATAATATATAATTAATAACATATCTGTGATTTACTATAGAAAATTTTAGTAACATTTTATCATTTCAAAGAATTAAAATTTTTAAGTATTTTATTACTACCTTAAAGCAGTTTTAGTGCTCGCTTCGGCAGCACATATACTAAAAGCAGTTTTAAATACAGGTAAATCAATTAAACAAAAAAAGCAATATGATATTACTCTAGGCATTAAAATTACAAACAGCAATATGTTGCATATACATTCTTTGGTTTTCATTTTTCTATATTCTTTAAGTATTTCTTACTCTTCAAATTAAAAGTTTATATTTCTCCTTTCTGCAAATTATTGAGATCCATCAAATTTAACATGAAAAATAAAGAAACCTATGTTTTTATAAAAGTATTGGGAAATATTGCTAATAAATACATATTTATCGTATGCTTAGTTTGCTAAAATATTGAGGTAATATAAATTTAGTTATAAATATTGCCACTGAACAAATATGAAATGGAACTCTCAATTTTAAAATTAGCATTAAGTATATGAAATATGCTTGTTAATTCAAATTAAGAATCAATTTAAAATGTGGAATGGAAATATTTAAATGTATTGACTTACTCTCTCTTATGTTATCCCAATTCCATTGATCATTCTTAAAGAAAGGATGTTGTTTGATTTCTTCTACCCCATTTCTCCCAAGTCGTACCTCCCTACGATGCAGTTAAAGATTATGTAAAAAGGTTATGAAAAGACGAGAACATTAACCTTTTATCCAGACAATAATCAACATAAGGATCACAAATGAGTTTGAGATATCTTTTTTAAAAGTATAGCATAAATGTTTCTCAAGAAAAAGCAATCTCAATTTTATAGTATATAATCTCTATAGATAAAGAAGACTGTAGTGTATATAGGAAATGCCATGGAAAGTGAAATATATTTCAATCAGTAGTTTGTGCCAAACAAAAAATACATATGAGACTTTCAAATAAAAAAATTCACCTACGTGTGTCAAAATTGCATAACCAACTTTAAGACACAAAATGGATGAAGATCTAACTTTTGGCCCAGAACAATTATCAAAACCTTTCCAATAAAACCATTATTTTAAAAATCTCTCCCCTTCTTAAAAAGAAATCACATTTTATATTTGAAGCTATCCATATTTACTCTGATAAATTATATCTCTGAATACAAAAAAAGTTAATTTCATTCTTTGACCCTTTGAGTCTTCAATTAAGACTGTATGAAAAATAAAAATAAAATAGACTGAAAATAAAAAGTACTTGTTTTTTTTTATATGCCTTGGAGTTATGTTTAAGAGAAAAAACTGTAAACTTTAGAGGGAAGTGCTCCTAGCCACACTAATGGCATTAAATTATTTTCAAAATATCTTTTCTCTACCTACAATCATTCTTTACTGCAACCTCCCTCCCAATAAATTGCTAAGACAAATCTTTCATGAATGATACTCATTTCAATAACATATGCTATATCCTATTTTATATTTGATCTTTCAGCACAAATTATGATCATCCCATCAAGTCAAAACATGATACAGGTTTTGTTTTGAGTTTAACAGCATGGATTGTACATTAATCATATAATTAACAAATCTTAAAGTTTTATTCTACAAATGATTGGTAAACATGTAAAAATGATTAACCTCTTTAATGAGGAACAATAAAAATAACTTTTCTTGCTTCAGATGGAAAAAGGAAAAAATTCATAATATTCAGTTTGATGAGAATGAGGAAAAATTACTGTTGAAAATATTCCCTGATGTGGCTTCTCTAGGTCAATTTTGCAACATCACTCAATTCCCAGAATTCCATCTTTAAGATTTATCCTACAAAAAGTATGCAAAGATGATTGTATGAGGATAGTCACTATAGAATTTCTTATAATAGCAACTAGCTAACAAACATAAGGAATCATAGCATTTTAGAGCTACAAATGCCCTTACTTTAATCTATTCTGATCCCATGATTTTATGGATGAATAAAATTATTTCCAAGAAGAATAAAATAATATCCTTAAGACCATAAAGCTAGTAAGTCAAATTTGGATGGGGGAGCAAGTACCCTCTTGTATGTGTTGGTGCTTTGATATGATGACTCACAAATATAGAAGAGAAACCAGAGAAGAATTGAATGGAGAGGCCAAGGAAGAAACTCTTAATAACTTTCTAGTTGTTCTCTTTGAGGCAGGTTTTCAAAATGCTGTTCATCTATTTTGTTTTAAGAAATATAGAATTACTAGGACAGACTTGCTCATATTCAAATGCAAATAAAAACTGGTTGGAAAGGAGGCACTCCCAGCTCAGTTTTTAAGATTATAACCTGTTTAGTATTTATCTGCACAAAATACTCCTTACAAAAACTGTACAATCAAGGGTAACATGGCTCAAGCCACCTTAGAGGAAATGTGAATAATACAAAAGTTTTATTTCTCTCAAATGCATTATTTTACAAAGTTCTATTTTTTTCTTTTTAGACATGAGGGTTAAGGTTAGAGTTAAATTACAATTAGGCTGCACATACAAAATGATTAAGAGTAACCCAACACCACGCTTAGTAGTAAAAAAAGAAAAAAAAAAAAGGCTAATCCAGAATTAAATGCATTTAGATAAGGAGACTGATTTCATACGTAAATAAGTTTCATTTCTACAAATTTAAAAGTAAAAGGAGCCATCTCTACAAAGACATTCAATGTATATTACCTCTCTGTTAGGAAGGCGCAGATGAGATTCTTTGCATGTTTAGAAATTTCTGCATCTTCAGGGAAACATAGTGAGTTTTTATGATCCATAATTTTGCTATATGTTCCTACAAGTGAATCTGCATAAAATGGAGTATCCCCTAAAATTCCAAGAAATAAGACATTGAGTGTAATAGAGAAAGCAAATTAAACACTTTTCATCTAATATTTAAATATGTTAAGTTTAAATTTGACACATGCATGAAAAAATGGTTATGGGCCAGAAGTTTCAGACAAAACAAAAAGGTGCACACCAATATATTTAAATTTTAACCATACCAATGAATCATCAACCCTTATGAGTAAAAAAATCAATGCTAAGTATAACTCTAGAATTTTGTAGGAAGTTTTAAATAATGGGACAGGAAACAATTTACTAAATAATTAAAGAAAAAGATTACTAAGTGAGGTCAGATCAGAGTCCTGTCTAATGCCTAAGCTAGATCATGGATCAGCTTTTTGAGATTATTCTCTAGAACTCTTGTTATACTAGTCACATGCACCAATTTAAATTAACTGCAACTAAACAAATGAAAAATTCACTTCCCTAGTTTACCAAGCATATTTCAAGTGCTCGATGTGGCCAGTGCCTAGAACAGTGGACGCAGATATAAACCATTTTCATCATGACAGACTAGACCAGCGGTTCTCAATCTGTGGGTCGCGACCCCTTTGGCGGTCAAATGACCCTTTCACAGGGGTCGCCTAAGACCATCCTGCATATCAGATATTTACATTACGATTCATAACAGTAGCAACATTACAGTTATGAAGTAGCAACGAAAATAATTTTATGGTTGGGTCACAACATGAGGAACTGCATTTAAAGGGCCAGAAGGTTGAGAACCACTGGACTAGACAGTGCAGCTCTAAGAATTAGACCAGCTCTATCTATCTATTTATCTATCTATCTATCTATCTATCTATCTATCTATTTATTATCCTCACCAGAGAATATTTTTCCCACTGCTTTTCAGAAAAGGTAGGAGGGAGGGAGAGAGGAACAAAAAGAGAAACATTGATGTGAGAGAGACACTTCGACTGGTTGCCTCCTGCACACCCCCTGACCAGGAGACAGGGAACGAATCCGCAACCCAGGCATATGCCCTTAACCAGAAATCAAACCTGAGACCTTTCAGTACTTGGGGTGACACCCCAACCACTGAGCACACTGGCCAGGGTCAGCCCTATTATTTTATACTAGAGGCCCGATGCACGAAATTCATGCAAGGGGCTCAGCCCTTGCAGCCCCAGCTTCATCGGGAAGGTCGTTCAGCTGTCTGGTCTAATTAGCATATTACGCTTTTATTATTATAGATACAAGGAAGCCGGGCCCAGAAGATGACATGTGATTTGCCTACAATGGCACAAATCTAGAGTTGAAAATGGCAGAAATGGTCTCCCAGTGCAGTGTTCCTGCTAACTAATGACTATGATAAAGAGATATTCAAACAAGTGTAAAGACAGAAAATGCTAAAAAGTATCATTTTGGCCAGTACTCATCTAAAGCCACAGGGTTAAATGTCCTGCTAGAATACTTCAACTACAAGTCACTTTAGTATAAGACAGACTTTCCCAAGCAGCCAATCCAAAACTTCAAAAGGGGTATTCAGGTAAGTAGTTTTTATTTGTTTTCAAAGGGGCACGGAGGAAAGCTTTGAATTTGATTCTTCTAGTGACATTTTATTTTTTTTTTAAATGTATTTTATTGATTTTTTACAGAGAGGAAGGGAGAGAGAGACAGAGAGCTAGAAACATCGATGAGAGAGAAACATCGATCAGCTGCTTCCTGCACATCTCCTACTGGGGATTTGCCCGCAACCAAGGTACATGCCCTTGACCGGAATCGAACCCGGGACCCTTCAGTCCGCAGGCCGACGCTCTATCCACTGAGCCAAACCAGCCATGGCTCTAGTGACATTTTAAAAAGTATGTTTTTATTGATTTTTTTAAGGGAAGAGAGAGGGATAGAGAGAAACAATGATGAGAGAAGGACATCAAGGATCGGCTGCCTCCTGCATACCCCCTACTAGGGATCAAGCCCACAACCCAGGCATGTGCCCTGACCTGGAATCGAACTGTAACCTCTTGGCTCCTGGATGGATGCTCAACCACTGAGCCAGACCAGCTGGGCTTCTAGTGCCATTTTTAATTGCAACAGAATCCTTTAAATGAACTCCAGTGCCAACCAACCTGAGCAAGCACCAGAGCAAGCTCAGAATACTGCAAATCAATGTCATTCAAACTCATTAAATTTAGCTTTCAGAGTTGAAAACAGTAGCAGAAATTTAAGTCTCTTCAAATGAGCTATGAGACTTCTTACAAAATACATTATTTTCTAAATCGTTTGGAGAATCTACACAAATAATAGAATATATTCTACTTTCAAATGATTACAAGACACACCTAATGCATCATCAGATCGGGCCAGAGGTGGGGAGAATGGACTGTTTACCTGGAAACATACGGTGAATACAAAGAGACACACTACAAAGACAAAGGTCTAAAACAAGTAGGTCATACTATGCCATAACACTAAGCATACAGCAAGATCAATGCTACATACACTGGATGGTCATCAAAAGCAATTTCCAAAAGGTCTACTTGAGGAATATTTCCTAGCAGCATACTTTCCTTTCCTTTCCTATTCTACTCAACTTGGCAGTATAAGGTTTGGTTTTAATTCTCCAATTAATAATCTGTCATATCAGACATTACTAATTCAAAGTTTTCATAAATTCTACTTTTTCCCTAGGACACATGCAATTAATTTCCTTATAGTCCCAAATTTGTGAACTAGAACTAAAGTGTTATAAGATGGGTTTTGAAAAAGAATGTTGAATATTTACTTACCCACCAGCATTTCAAAAAGGAAAACACCCACAGACCACCAATCACATTCTCGCCCATAGTAACCATCACCCCCTTGTGATTTCAGAACCTCAGGTGATATATAATCAGGTGTTCCAACTGCTGTATCACAATGCACCATGCCTGTCTGGGTAAATAGCAGAGATAAAGAGAAAAAGATGCGTGTAAACACACACACACATAAATGCAACTAATTCATTTATTATTCATATAAGTGATATAAACTGCTACCAACAGAACTTCACTGCTGACATAGCTTTGGCAGGAGAGTGGACAAATGCACTGAGTCATACACAGTAAGCAAAATTAAATTTATCTTTGTTTAAAACTATAAAATCCCAATTTAAAGTGTTTCTTTTATCTTTGTTTCTAAAAAACAACCCAGCATTTTTTTACTTGCTTATAACTTACTTCATCCATCTTCATACATGTGCCAAAATCTGCTAATTTTAGATGTCCATGTTTATCCAAAAGCATGTTGTCAGGCTTTACATCTCTGTGAATTAAACCCATGGAGTGTATGGCATCCAGAGCGAGAACAACTTCAGCAGTATAAAATTTGGCCCATTTTTCAGGTACATCATAGTTACTCATAAGGTTTACAAGGTCTCCACCAGGCATGTACTCCATTACCATGTACAGATACTTATCATCTTGAAAGGCACAAAAGAGCTGAAAAATAAAATGGGAAGGAAAAGAATTTTTAAGAAGAAAGAAAACTCAAACCATAAACAGAACAAAACCCCAAAACTGTTTTTACTATTGAAAAAAAGACAGATTACTTTATATCCAAAACCAACTTGAATTTTATGAAATGTTTGATTTTAGATTTGGACATCTTTAAGGGAAAAATAGTTAACAGACAAAACTTTAATATGGGTATCTTCTTCATACTTACTAACAAAATATGTATAAATATATCATTTTCCCTCTTGGAGAATATAGGAATCTATTTAAATAGAAATATTTTTAAAAGAGAAAAAGAATAAGACAAACAACAAATTATTGCACATAACTCACAAAGAAGGGAGCTGGGGAGGTAGGCACAGTTTAGAAAAACCTAAAAGATACCAGATTCAATGGCCACAAGAAGAGGGAGTGAGCCCCATTCCACTGGGAGAGGGAGCAGTTGGTAGCCACATTTGGGACAGGTCCTTCTCCTCTCTTCCCTTCTCCATCTTCTTGCTCATAATAAGCAGCAAGTGGCAGTGCTACCTGCATCCACACTAAAATAGTGACATTGGGACCAGAGAAATAATACACCAAACTAGGTTGCTACTAACTTCCAAGAGACAGAGAAATCACAAATTCAGAAGGAAAGCTATCCATATTCCGTCCTAAAACATGTTCCACTCCACCCAGAAGCAAGCAATTGCAAACAGAAAAGGTTTCCACAAAGAGAACAAAACCAAGAAATCAACATTTTAGAAAAACCAATACCATGACATACAGATAAAGCAATTCAAGAAACAACAAAATTGCCCATATTTGTATGAGTCTATATTGGGGTTTTCTATTCCATGTAATTGTTGTTGTTTTTTTATTCTTGCCACCAGGTACCACAGTGTTTTTATTAGTTCTGTTTAACTTGCTTGATGTTGATTAAGGTTCTTAGATCTACGGGTTTATAGATTTCATCAAATTTGGAAAACTTTTGGCCACTATTTCTTCAAGTATTTTTTTCTCTCTCAGCTTCTGCCCCAGTCCCTTTCTCAGACTGTAGTTATACATATATAATCTGTTTGGTGTTGTCCTAGGGTAACTGATATTCTCTCTGGGTTTTCTTTTAGTCGTTTTTTTAAACCCTGATATGCTTCATCTTGCAGTTTTTATGCTCTGTCTAGACCAGTGATGGCGAACCTATGACACGCGTGTCAGAGGTGACACGCAAACTCATTTTTTTGGTTGATTTTTATTTGTTAAATGGCATTTAAATATATAAAATAAATATCAAAAATGTAAGTCTTTGTTTTACTATAGTTGCAAATATCAAAAAATTTCTGTATGTGACGCACGGCACCAGAGTTAAGTTAGGGTTTTTCAAAATGCTGGCACGCCGAGCTCAAAAGGTTCGCCATCACTGGTCTAGACAAATGAAATAAAAGACTTGTATGCAAATGTTCACTATTTATAACAGTCCCAAAGTTGAAACAATTCAAATGTCCATCAATCAGTAAATGGACAAACAAAACTGAGTATTATGCATATACTGTGTTTCCATCCAACCAGGAATATTGTAATACAATTCCGATGCTAAACACCTAGAGTTAGCATCAGATCCCACAAGAGCTCAGTCTTCTACAAGACTGCCCTCACTTCAAACATCAGTCATACTTCCAGAGTCCCCAGGCCTGCATTTCTGACTAAAGGACTAAAAATTCAGGAGTTTCATAACCCCCTAAGGTTCAATAATTCACCAGGATGACTCACAGAACTTAGAGGGAAGCACTATACTTATGATCACAGTTTATTATCAAGGATGCACATAGGGTGAAGTCTGGGAGACAGTACACAGCTTCTGTGCCTTTTCCTTGTGGAATTAGGGTGCATCACACTCTGCACATCAATGTGTTAACCAATCAGGAAGCTCCACTGAGTGCCAATGTCCAGAATTTTAATTAGGGTCTCATTACATAGGCATCATTAAATAAATCATTGCCATGTGATTAAACTCAACCTTCAACTCTCTTCCCCTCCCTGGAGGTTGAGCAGCTTGTACTTTCTGGCAACCAATCTCATCTCAAAGCTATCAAAAGGCTACCAGGAGTTGCCTCATTAACATAACAAAGACACTCCTATCACTCTGGAAATTCAAGCAATTTTAAAAGTTCTGTGTTAGGAACTGGGGACAAAGAGAATATATTCTTTACTATTCCATACCATACAATGGAATATTATTTAGCACTAAAAAGAAATGAAGTACAACACATATTACACTATGCATGAACTTCAAAACAGTATGCAAAGGGAAACAGACCAGATCCAAAAGACAACTACTGTATGATTCCATTTACCTGAAATGTCCAGAAAAGGCAAATCTATAGAGACAGTAAGCACATTAGTGGTTGCCTGGGGCTGGGAGGAAGATGGAAAATAACTCTAAATGGGTACAAGTTATCATCTGGAGATAGTAAAAATGTTTTAAAATCAGATTTCAGTGATAGGTGTACAACTGTAAATTTCCTAAAAACATCACTGAATTATACGAGTTGATCTGCAAGTAACTTAATAATGCAGCTTTATTCACAAGGGACAAAACTGGAAACAACTCAAATGCCCTTGAACAGATGAATGGATACACAAATGATCATGTATCATGTATGGAATACTATTTAGCATTAAAAAGGAATGAATTACTGATATACTGCATCATGGATAAATCTCAATAACAATTTTGCTAAATGAAGAAGCCAGGTAGGATGGGATTAAAGTTAGAATGAACACTGTAGCAGAAAAGATAAGTTAACTTAAAGACATAGCTCAAACAAATAATACAAAATGAGGCACACCAGAGCAACAACAACAAAAGACGAGAAAAAACAACAACAACAAATAAAGAGACTATCTGGGCAACACCAAGCAGATTATATACGTGTAACTCAAGTCTGAGAAAGAGGCTGAGAGTTATGTATGATAGAACTGAGACAGAAAAAAAATACTTGAAGAAATAATGGCCAAAATTTTTCCAAATTTTATGAAATCTCTAAGCCCATAGATCTAAAAAGCTCAATCAATATCAAGCAATTTAAACAGAACTAATTAAAACACTGTGGTACTTGGTGGCAAGAATAGACAAATAAAACAACTAAATGGAACAGAAAACCCCAATATAGACCCATGCATACATGGACAATTGTATTACAAAAGGAGGCAAACTATACCAATAGGAAAAGGAAAATTGTTTTTGTTTTTTTCCCCAATGTGATGTTGGAACAACTAGATATCCACAAGGAAACAAATAAAACATAATCCTTGCCCTACCCAGTTTGGCTCAGTGGATAGTGTCGGCCTGTGGACCCAAAGGTCCCGGGTTCAATTCCAGTCAAGGGCATGTACCTCAGTTGCAGGCTCCTCCCTGGCCTGGGCCCTCCTGTTCAGGGCTTGTGCAGGAGGCAACCCATGGATGTGTTTCTCTCACACTGATGTTCCTCTCTGTCTTTCCTTCTCTCTTCCACTCTCTCTTAAAAAACAAAAAAACAAACAAACAACAAAAACACACACCCATAATCCTTATGTAACACCCTATTTTAAAAAATCAATCCTGGTGTGATCACAGGCAAAAAATAAGAAGTCAAAAAGATAACATAGCCCTAGCTGGTTTGGCTCAGTGGATAGAGCGTTGGCCTGCGGACTGAAGGGTCCTGGGTTCAATTCCAGTCAAGGGCACATGCCTGGGTTGCGAGCTCAGTCCCCAGTGGGGGGCGTGCAAGAGGCAGCCAATCGATTCCGGTCAGGGCATGTACCTGGGTTGCGGGCACATCCCCAGTAGGAGATGTGCAGGAGGCAGCTGGTCGATGTTTCTCTCTCATCGATGTTTCTAACTCTCTATCTCTCTCCCTTCCTCTCTGTAAAAAATCAATAAAATATATATTTTTTAAAAAATTCTTGCCAAGACCGGTTTGGCTCAGTGGATAGAGCGTCGGCCTGTGGACTGAAAGGTCCCAGGTTCGATTCCGGTCAAGGGCATGTACCTGGGTTGCGGGCACATCCCCAGTAGGAGATGTGCAGGAGGCAGCTGGTCGATGTTTCTCTCTCATCGATGTTTCTAACTCTCTATCTCTCTCCCTTCCTCTCTGTAAAAAATCAATAAAATATATTTTAAAAAAAAAAATTCTTAAATGCACTAAAGGTTATTCATCATAAAACTTTTATAAAATTGTACTACATCAGAGTTATACATTTCTATTCATCAAAACATGTTATTAAAGGAGTCGAAAGATGAGCTGCACATCGGTATCAGAGCTCTACAGTGTAAGGAGGACTGTTCCTGCATGAGGATGGCTGCCATGGGTTACTAAGGCCCAAGCAGGGTGATGAAGACATCCAGGCAGAGGGGCAGTGTGACATGGGATATGAGAGCCTAAAAGGGATGAGAAGGGACGAGATATCCAGGAAGGAAGAATCAGAGCCCAAGTAGAGAAAAGAGGGTGGGGGTTCATGGAGGAGATCGGGGCAGCAAAAATAGACACTGGTTATGCAGGTTGCACCAGGTGGACTGATCAAACTATTTAAATGTATTAAAGGTAATGGAAGCCTCATTTCGCACAACTGGAGAAAAAAGGTCACAAATACAAAGAGGAATAAAACTAAAATGAACCCTATGGAGTTAGATTAAGAAGCATCAATGTGAACTTATGATTTTCAATATCTACAATGGACAGAGAAAAAAACAGGTGTGTGTGTGTGTGTGTGTGTGTGTGTGTGTGTGTGTGTGTACACAGACTCAATCCACTGAGAATGCCTGGGAGCACTGACATTCCAATAGCCACAAGCACACAATACCAGTGAACACTTTGTAAAGGTCCATTTAGCAGAATTAAAGATTAAAGATATCAATTTACAAAATTATAAACTAGAAATGTCAATGACTCTGATACTATGAAAGCAATTTAAAGCTAAAAATGGAATAATTTATTACAATTATTCCTTAATCAGGTAAATTACCATGATATATGACTTGCTATAATCATATATCAGTTTTAGCTGCACATTATCAGAATTTCTATTCACTGAATATAATAAAAAAGGAGAAGGGTTGAGGCTCAACATAATTTAAAAAAGCAATAATAATAAGTTTTTAAATTACATATTCATCAATGTGGCAATATTTTTTACATCCAAATTTCCTTCCACAAGCAAGATATCAAACTCCCAGATCATTTAAGCATTCTGAACATGCATTGGTATATACCTAACTTTACTCATGACATTTGTTCAAAATGTTTGTAAAATTAGATATTAGTATAAAAAATCTTTAGACAAACAAAGCTGGTGAGGAATATAATTGAAAAGAAGATAAAATTGAACATCTGTTCCTTACTTAAGAGTCAAATATGAGGCTGAATTAGGAATGTCAAGACTGTCTTACATTATAGGTAATATATAAAGGACTGTAGAAACAGAATTTTCAAAATCCTTGTTGCATGAAGTCTTTTTTTCCTTTAAGATAGTCCGATTATTGTTTTTATTACATAAATCACAACAAAGAGTAGGCATACTTTTAATCAACCCAACACAATTCTTTATAAAGGAATTAAAAAAGAAAAAGTTGCAAGTAATACTTGCTTCCATACACAAATGTAAGTATTGTATGTCATGTCTGTATGACATACTACTTAGGAACATTAAATAAGCGTATTAAATCAGATCTTATTAAAAATAACTGCACTGTCACTATGTAATAGAAATGTAGGATATTTAGCACACAAAATCAATAATTAAGAATGATAAGCACTTATAAAAGAAGTAAATAAACTTATAAAAGTTAGTATGCTTACCTGAACCACCCAGGGACTGTTGGCAAAGGCCATAATATCTCTTTCTTCCCAGAAAAAAGCAGAATCTGATCTTTTTATCATTTCAAACTTACTAAGAAGCTTCATAGCATAAACCTTCTGTGATGCTTTATGACGAACCTATTGATTTTTAAAACACAAAAATTATTAATATTTTAATTTTACTAGAAAGGTGAACAAATCATTATAATGCTATTATTAAGAGACTTTAGTTACAAAACAAAATGATCCCCAGCTAACTAATAAAAAGTAAAGACATAACTTTCTTTTGCTACTCCTCACCTGAGGATATTTTTTCCATTGATTTTTAGAGAGAGTAGAAGGGGAGAGGAAGAGAGAAAGAGAGGGGGAAAGAGAGAGACAGAGACATTGATGGAGAGAGACATGTCGACTGGTTGCCTCCCACATGTGCCCTTCTTCACTCAGCTGAAATGTAAACCCCTCAAATGGATGACCAGCCTATCCAAAGTAGGAATTCATTGTTCCCTACCCTAGAACTCTACATGTTTCCTTCCTAGCAGATACCATACTTAATAATTTTTTGATGTTGTTTCCTTTTATTTATTGTGTCTCCCATATTAGAATGTAAGCTCAATGAAGGTAAAGATTATTCATGCCTGTTTTATTCTCCATTGTACTCTCAGTGCCAAGTACAATGTCATCACTGGCAATTAAAATAGACACTCACTAAATATTTAATGAAAAAAATAATGTCTGTGAAAAAAATTATATTATATTGCTGGCCAAACTATGAATTTCCAGTTATAAGAAAATAATCAACAGGTAATATTTCCAGAAAGTACCAAAGATTTACCAGAGAGTGACTGCTATAGGGTTAATAACAGAATAGAGACACTCACTAAATATTTGATGAATAAATAAATGTCTGGGGGAAATTTTTGTATTTGATAATTGGCCAAACTCTAAATAATTTCCAGTTAGAAGAAAGTAACAGGTAATATTTCTAGTTATTTTTCATTAAGTACTATCCACATATAGAATCAATATTTTTATTATATTGATTAAAATAAGGTCAACCAAAGGAATGTTCATGTTCTCCCTAGCAAAGATATGAGAATTTACAAATCTGATACTTTATAAAATGCAATAAAACTTTAGAAAATCATACAATGCTGTACCTCTTTAGTAAAGAGAACTCCCTCAACCCACATAAGAAATGTTACTGGTTGAATGGACCTGAACATATCACTGACAGAAGAGATAGACGGTCTTAGCATGAAACAATAAATACAAATATGTTATCACTCAGAACCATGCACTTCTGGCCAGGGTAGAGTAACTAGTACCTGCTAGCCTTCCCACTGTAAGCAACCATCCAAACGGCAAAACATGTGAACCAACTGCTTTCAGACTTTGTCAAATAGGCAGCACAAGACTACAATTCCTGAGAGAAGAGAAATTCACCAAGTCAACACCATAATTACCCAAACACTATCTCAACCAGCATACAAGTGATCACCTAAGCTAAGCATAGTGGTCCTGCTGAGTTGAGGAAGCAGAGATCAGAGTTCAAGACAGGTGAGGCACAAGGATTATGCTAGCAAGAAAAGAGGAAAGTAAAGAGTTATGCAGAGGGAGGTCCCTAGAAATACCATGTGAGTCCTTGGCTAAGGGTACTATCCAAAGAGAAAGTACCAAAGGTTTACAGATAGCAACTGCTACGGGGCTGGTAGCAGAACAGAGACACTACAATTTAGACAGCATTGGAGGGACGTTTGATTTCCAGTCACAAAGAGTGGAGAAACCTTTTTTGGACATCCAGGTAAAATTAGGAGGAAGAACCATACTCTAAACCAAGGCCTACTCTAGAACTCCCTAACAAAGCTTAATAATACCATGCCCTAAAAGAACAAAAGGGGATTAGAGTTGAGAGGTTCACTCTTGCCAATGAAAAGAATTTGGAAAACAACTTGGTCTTTCACACATATACATTTACGTATAAAGTATAAAACTACGCCTGCACAAGGTAAGGGTGATCAGCAACTGGACAGCCTGTTAGAATAAAATTAAACATCAAAGAAAAACAAAAAAATCCAAAGTCTCCATCACATATTGACGAGGACCAGTATATAATTTTAAAAATTACTTGATAGGCAAAGAGGAAAAGACTCATCCTCAAAAAAAAAAAAAAAAGCAGTTAATAGAAAACCCCAATAGATGTTGGATTTAGCTAGCAAATACTTAAAAATTTAAAAAATAGCCTTCAATGAACAAAAGGAAATATCTACAGAGAAATGAAAACTACAAAAAAAGAACCAGCTGGAAATTCTATAACTGAAAAAAACTAAAATGGAAAATTCATTGGAAAGGCTAAACAGAGAATGGAAATGGAAGGAACCAATGAACACAAATCAATCTGAAGAATAAAGAGAAAGACGAATACATTAAAATAAACAAAGATTCAGGGGCCTGCAAGGCCATTTTAAACCATCTAAAATATGTGTCAATATAAATGGACTAAACACTCCAATTCATAGGCAAAATTTATAAGAATTAATTAAAAAGCAAAACCTAACCTTATATATTTTAAATATAAGACCAAGGAGGTTGAAAATGAAAAGTTGAAAAAAGATATACCATGCAAACAGTAAAGTAAGAAAGGAGACAGAGCCCTAGCTGGTTTGACTCAGTGGATAGAGCGTCGGGCTATGGACTGAAGGGTCCCAGGTTCAATTCCGATTAAGGGCACATGCCTGGGATGTGGGCTTGATCCCCAGTAGGAGGCGTGCAGGAGGCAGCTGATTGATGATTTTCTCTCATCACTGATGTTTCCATCTCTCCCTCTCTCCCTGCCTCTCTGCAATCACTAAAAATCCTATATAATAAAAGCTTAATATGCTGTGTCCAGTCGTCCGTTCAACCAATCAAAGCGTAATATGCTAATGATATGCTAAGGCCTCTCAACTGCTTGCTATGACATACACTGACCACCAGGGGGCAGACAGTCGACCAGTTGCTATGACATGCACTGACCACCAGGGGGCAGACACTCTAACCGGTAGGTTAGCTTGCTGCTGGGGTCTGGCCGATCAGGACTGAGCCCTGGAGCCCTCCAGTGGTCCCTCCCCGGCTGGCCAACCTCCTGCGTCCCTCCCTGGCCCGGTGATCCTGCACCGGTGGGGTCCCTCTGCACCCTCTCGCAATCCGAGACCCCTAGGGGGATGTCAGAGAGCCCGTTTCGACCCCGATCCCACTCAATGCAGGAGCTGCCCCCTGGTGGTCAGTGCGGTCCCACAGGGGGAGCGAAGCTCAGCCAGAAGCCATGCTCACGGCTGGCAACCGCAGCAGCCTCCGTGGCAGCGCTAAAGATGTCCAACTGCCGGCTTAGGCCCGCTCTTTGCACTGCGAGTGGCACAGGCCAGGCTGAGGGACCACCCCCTCCCCCAAGTGCAAGAATTTCGTGCACTGGGCCTCTAGAGTGTGTGTGTGTGCGTGTGTGTGTGTGTGTGTGTGTGTGTGTGTAAATAAATAAAGTGGACAGAGCAATATTAATAACACACAAAGTAGACTTCAAAACAAAGAGAATAAAAGGGTAATTCAGAGAAGAGTATAACACAGTGATGGCGAACCTATGACACGCGTGTCAGAGGTGACACGCCAACTCATTTTTTTGGTTGATTTTTCTTTGTTAAAGGGCATTTAAATATATAAAATAAATATCAAAAATATAAGTCTTTGTTTTACTATGGTTGCAAAGATCAAAAAATTTCTATATGTGACACAGCACCAGAGTTAAGTTAGGGTTTTTCAAAATGCTGACACACCGAGCTCAAAAGGTTCGCCATCACTGGTATAACACATCAGGAAGACATAAAAATTCTAAAAATGTATGCATTAATAAATGAGCTTGAAAATTCATGAAGCAAAAATTGACAGAATTAAAGAAAAACAAAAAAGACAAATCCACGATTTCAATTGGAAATTTTAATATCCCCTCAGTACTTGATATAAGAAGTAAACAAAACTTTGATATGGCTACAAAGAAAATACAGCCGCAGAATGAAAACTGCCTAATCAAATTACAAGTATAAAGGTTATTACATCAATAGGTTATATCACTTATCCTTGAACTACTTTGATATACTGTAACTGTACATGAAAAGAATCGACTCATACATGCAAAGAGCCAAATAAATTATGATGAGGGTCAAAGATTACATCCATCTTCTATATTAACTTATTAAACTGGAATAACAATTCCTTTGATTTAGTGTTATAACATTTATAGAGTGCTGAAAATAAATGCATGGGAAAGCAATATGAAAACATGGGTAGGTAGATTAAGGGGTAAAGGATCCTAGCCTTAAAACTAGAAATACCTTCCACAGCAGATAGACTAGATGTTTAATTGATTTATGTTGAATTAGCAAATTATCTCAAAGCAAATGCTCATTTCAGCACTGCTGTTATATGTTGTTTTAAAAAATATTTAAAATGATGTTAAAAAGGTTGCTAAGGTACTCCCTCTTCCACATTTATGCCACTCTTCAACCCTTCACTACAAACTAAATTTTGAGTGTTTCCTAACTTCATTAGAAAAAGCATTCCATATAACATTGAGTCCATCAATTAATTTATGCTTGACTCAGACCATAAAAGAGTTTTAAGAATTCTGCTGTAAGGTACAGTTATGAACAGAAAGTAAAAGGTATTTGTCAGCTGGTAAAAAAAAAATAATTAAAAACAAAAAGCTTCTACACAGCAAAAGAAACCATCAACAAAATGAAAAGGGAGCCCACTGAATGGGAGAACATATTTTGCAATGATACATCTGATAAAGGGCTAATATCCAAAATATATAAGGAACTCATACAAATTAACAAAAGGAAGACAAACAATCCAATTTAAAAATGGGCAAAGGACCCCCTGGCGATGGGCAAGGAGACACCTGATTGGTGGTGTTGCTCTTATATCAATCAGGGACAAAGCAGATGTACAGTCCTTAGTTCATCCTAGCTTGATGCTTGTGTCGGTAGCCAGAGCTGTTTCATGACTGAGGCACATTAAAAAAAAAATCATCAAAGGACCTAAACAGACACTTCTTCAAAGTGGACATGCAGATGGCCAAGAGATATATGAAAAAATGCTCAAAGTCACTG